TTTAATGAAGATGCTGAAATTGCAGACATACGATGTCAACGGCCGAGAGCAGTTGACTAAAGGGTCATGCTTCACAGAAGCAATGCATATTCATGGGATCAATAAGGTGCAGCAGGCGATCCTTGTAGGAGAAAGGAAAGAATTAATATTTGAGAGAGATAAGTTTGGTGACAATGGAGTACCATGACGGTTGTCGTCGATGCGAGGCTGTAGGATGCTGAAACTGGCGCTGATATACAGAGGTTCGTGGCGCAGCAGACGTAGCGAGATTGATTGGTCGGGTGCTTAACCGGCTGGATCAAGTTTTGCCACTTTCACCATCATTCGGTACGTCATCTTTCCGCAATAATTCGTCATAAGAAGCTGTGAGCGCTGCACCCTCTAGCCTGCTGCCTACAATCATACACTGTGCGTAATATCACCGTCACAGCCCCGTCTCTCACGTACCAGCTTCTACTTGCGCCCCGGTATCTTCTCCTATTGAACGATTACGCGAGCTCCGCCCAGCCGACTTAAGCCACCTCTAAAGGTGCTTGCCATCAATGGAGAGCAGCGGCGGCCCTGGCGCCAGAGTAGCTATCCCTCGGCTCAGGCGGCCTGACCAGCGGACTGCCCCTCCGAAGCCTCCCCGTATTCGTTCCGAGAAAGTGGATAAGGCAGTAAGTACCGTACTTCCATGAACCCGCACCATGACGCTGATCAAATGTGTAGTGCAATAGATGCCGGAAGCGCAGTAGGCATATTATCGAATTCCGTCCTTGCGACCGCGCCTACTAGTTGCTTCGTGTGGACATATTGTGCGAGCTAACATGTGCAGAAATGAAATGCTCTGGCACTAGACCGCGCTGCATCAACTGCGAGAAGCATGACGAGGATTGCATATACCATCTGCCACGTCGGGACCGGCTAAGAGAGTGAGTTGACTTGAATATCTCTTCAGTGCGCTTCTGACTTGAACAGGACCACTCACAAGAGTGAGGTTCTCTCCACACTGCTCCAGGACATCCGTGGCGCCCTCGATAATGAGCATACAAAGAGAATTGATGATGCACTCAAAGAGTTTGAAAATGACACACCTCCACCATCGCCATCCGTATCCATCAAGTCATGGAACAAACGATCGAGGACGTCATCGTCTAATGAAATGGATTGCGACAGGCAGGCGTTTGACGAGGCTCATGTCTCATCCTCAGTGGGCTCTAACGAGGATCTCGATTTCCTAGGAGAAGATGCCCTGGGGGACCTCGGATCAATTGAGACGGGCTATATGGGTCGCAACTCTCAGATCCAATGGATGCGGACTTTGCAACGAAAGCTAGATCAGTCTGGAGGCGGGCTGTCCGACATGCCATATGCGGCACTTAGAGGCAGCGAGGGGGATTCCTCTAAACGCTCTGATGCACCTTATGAACGTCAAAAGCAGCCAGCGGGCGCCGGGCCTCTTTCGAATTACTGCTTCTATCTTGACAACACTGACGTTAATATCGACATTGACGATCCAGATGTTGTTCCACCTGTCGAGATAGCCATAAAACTGTTCGAGTCCTATCAGGTAGCGGTCCATGATCCGTTCCGGATCCTTGACAGCTCATTCGAGGAGCAATTACAAACGTACTATCGGGTTTCCCAGCGCGGCGGTACAACAAACGTCTGCGTAAAGTGGAAAGCCATCCTTAACCTTGTTTTCGCCATCGGAGCACGCTTCTCGCACCTTGTTGGCGACGACTGGCGAGCCGATGGCGGCGACCATCACGTATATATGTCGAGGGCAGTATACTTCCTGGGATTGAATCAAACCACGACACTCATTTGCGCTCCTGACATCTCACTCATACGAGTGAGTGTTTCGGTCTCTTGTAACCCGGGAGTCAATTTCTGACTAACAGCATACAGGCGACTGGGCTCCTCTCCTTCTACCATCTGACTATTGGTTATGTTAATAGGTATGTGAAGTTTGCATAGAGCACGTCGCTAAGACGAGCTTTACTTCAAAGGATGCGCTCTAGCGTCAGTACAATATATTGCGCATTTCTACTGACATATGTTGCACAGGGCTTGGTATGTGATTGGTATGTCCATTCGATATGCGCAAGCAGCTGGTCTCCACCTTAGGAACGAGGATCCCTCCGTTCCGACGAGCAGAAAGAATGCATTGGCACAACTCTGGTGGGCCCTCCATTCGATCGAATGTGTCCTCACTTCCGTAACGGGACGACCGCGTGTCATAGCGAGAAAGGACTGTACAGTCTCTCTTCCGACAACCGTGATGGGGGGATATACTCCGGAGAGCAATTCGCCACCAGAAGGCTCCTCACCCCGATCGAATCCCATACTGCCCGCGCTATCATCGGCCCAGAGTCAGGTCCGGCGATTCCCCAACTCTGTAGAAACGGCCACTAATCCAGACTCGTTCGTAAACGCTTACGTACGTCTTGATCTCATTCAGCACAAGATACTATCTAATCTCTATTCTGCGCGACCCGCTATTCACTCATGGAAGCGTATGCAGAAAGAGATATCCTCATTAACCACAGAACTGAACGAATGGGCTCTGCAAGCACTTCCGCACGGTTCATTCAGTGCAGCATCGATTGCGGAGCCTAGCCTAGGGCGGGAGCAATCCGTGCTCCATTTCTGTTACCTGAGTGCTAAGATCTGCATTACTCGACCTTGTCTGTGCAGACTGGACCTACACCCAAAAGGCCAAACCGAAGAGTCAGCCGAGTTTAATTGGAGCACAGCTGAAGCTTGCGTTCAGGCCGCCCTAGATTTGGCATTGTTGCTACCTGAACCCATTAATCCCCAATGGATCTACGAGAAAGGACCGTGGTGGTCGAGTGTACACATCAGTGAGTTCCAATTTTGCACCGAAAAGGGCCGACTAACTTTTGTAGTTATGCAGGCTATAACGGTGCTGCTCCTCGAGTTGGCGCAGGGAGCGATTCATTGGCCAACAGATCCGTCAAACATCGCCATATGCGTGGAGAAACTCACTCAATGGCTGAAGGCCATGAAGTCCAAGGATGTCGTCAGTGAACGTGCATACAATATCGTATGCAAGATGCTAGGCAAACATGAACAATCTAGGGAAGATGTCGCGACTGGTCAATGGGCAGCGGAGATGGCGGAACAACCCTACAACGAGCCATCAGCCGCATCCTATATGGCATCTCAACCGTACAACGACCTAGATCTCCAGTATCTGCAAGAAACCCCTTGCCTCGACACTTATTTCAACGATGATTATTACTCTCAAGCCAACAGCGGGAACTTTGATCTCAACTCCCTGGCATGGCCTCTCAACGAGCCCCCTGCAGACTTTCTGTTCGGCCAGGCACAGTTACCGTTGTTCTTTGGGAATCATTTCATGACAGACTTTGATCAAGGGATGGACTACTACGGCCTGGACGGTTATACCCAACATGGACAGCAGCCCCCACAATAGGATCGCGGCTAACGTGTCCAGTGGTTTCGGCGAAGGGCGAACCAGGCAAACAATCTTTTAAAAATATAACATAGTGGAATATACAAGTTATGGAGAGAGAGTATATCGCTTCGTATGAAGCATCCTTCTCCGCTGAACAACATGGCCAACCCAGAAACATGTGGAAATCTAAGTGCTACGCTGAGAATGCCATGTACTCGACGGCGGAATGGTTTTAGCTAGAAAAGCTCGTTTCGATTCCTGCCATTCTTGGCGAAGCATTATAGCTAGGACTTCAAGTAATGACAAAAGATCGCAGAGAGAGGCTTTCATCTTCGCCACACACGTGTGATATGTAACCATAATAAGTACTATTGGTGGAGATCAGTTGCCACCGCTAGCAAGAGGTGGCTGACCCGCACTGGCCATACGGTTGTCAGGCGCGTTAAATTCTTTCTGTATATGGTAGATAAAGGGAGAATTCCTAATAGGTGTCGTCGCCACTGGATGATATGGAAGATGTAGCTGACGCGTGGCCGCCAAGAGGATCAAGCGCAGACTTCAGCCACGATCAGACCTGATCTCGGGAGTGAAGCAAGGATCAAAACCTATGGTTCCATCCATGGGTTATCGAAAAGGAGCGAGACTGATTGGAGAGATCGAGGAAGATGTCATCGGTGAAGAGAAGAGCAAGAGCATGGTGTAGTATCCGAGGTTAGTACCTACGCTGACCAAGTTGGGTAACGAGGTGGTGCTTTGTGAGGGCGCCAAGGTGCCGCTTATGTTGAGGAAGAAGGAACTGAGAGATGAGAAGAAGAGGACGGTGTATGAGTTCATTGGTGACACATATATCCATGGTGTAATGGAGGGCAAGCTGTGGGATTAGATCAAGTGCGAGAATCTTCATATCATTTAGATCCAACCATCAGCATACTAGATGAAAATGCAACTCTATTATATACTTGTCAGGAGATGCTGCTCAGTAGTCCTCTCTTTAACGTCGAGAGTGATATTGTGAAGTGCATTATGTTAGCGTAGAAAACTGTCAGCAGTATAAAAGAAAGTGTACATGAAGGGCACTTCTGAACGTTGTACCCAAGCTGTGATCTGTCAGCGGTAAGGCGTCTGCAAGTGGTAGGATTTTGCCACCAGCAGCAGGGAGGATGGCCGACCCGCTCCGGCCACATGTTTGACCCTATGGCCGGTGCGGGTCGGTCTTCCTCTGCTAGTGTGATCGAGGTGTTCGTACGCTTTTCGACGATGGCGTATTCTCAAGGATGCCTGCTTCAGCCTCACTCCGTCACAGTCTAGGCTATGCTCTCAATCCCGCGTGCTTGGAGTGGAGCCTACACACAACCACCCGCCTCCTGAACCGTCTCTTTCCCTCAAATCCGACTCTTCCATCTAACCCAACGTCCTCTGTTCACCTGCCCTCCCATTGCTACATTGTCTCTGGCGAGGGTACCATACAAGGTTTGCAAAGGTATCATTTTCCAGCTAAGGGTATCATTAGGTAAGCCATGTTTATAAACCGAAGTCTAACCCCAATTCGGAAAACATTCATTTTTAGGTCCATCTAGGACGATTGTCCTTGTCCGCTTATTGAAGAATCTTCTTCCCGCTGCTTCAACAATCTCGAAAGCTGGTCAAACTGCACAGGCTTCGTGACGAACTTGTCCACGCCAGCGGCGAGAGCTTCGTCCTCATCACGTTCGCTCGCTAACCCGGTCAACGCGACTATGTAGGCAGGGGTTATGGGATCAAAAGATGATTGGGCGGAGCGTCGTTCGTGTTCTATGCAACGGATCTCGCGCGTAGCTGTGAAGCCGTTCATAACAGGCATCGAAAGATCTTTGTTCGAGTCAGCGTACGCTTTCGAAGTATGTCGCTTTGTTTGGATGATGGGATAGTGAAAAAATTAATGCATGTAGGAAAGAGGAAACGTTAGCGTGAGATGTGGGGTGATGGAAGAATTAGCTAGGAACGCACCCATGAAAATAACATCAAAGCCTTCCGAACGTCCCTCCACCATCATGACTGCTAATGCACCATTCTCTGCGTATTGGACATGGCGACAGCCATATTTCTTCAGAAAGGCCCCCAGAAGCCTTCTGTTCACCGCATTGTCCTCAACGACAAGGATACGGAGGTTCAGCGGATCCATGCTCGATTTCTCACTTTGGGAATCAGCAACGAAGCTTCCAGAACGATTTGGGAGAACTGTTTCATTTGGTGTGTCCGTATGTCTGTGTAGCGTATTCTCCATTACCGGTAAAGGGACGTTCTCGCTATTGGCTGTGTCCGATATGGCTAGAGTTGCCTGCGATCGTTTCCTTGACGAATTACGTGTGCCTTCCTCAACGCTTCGCTTGTCGTCTCGCGACTGCTGATCGGTTTCGCCATGGATGTACTGTCCACGATCACTTTCATCTCGCTCGCCGCTGCATCCATGTCCGCGAAGCTCTCGTAACTTGACGACACATGCCGAAAGTGCCTTTCCGAGGTTGCGAGGGCCTATGGGACGCGGAATCCGCTCCCATTTCCTGTATCCTTTGATTGGGCGCATCGGCTTGGCCAGTGCATCTGCGATCATTGCAATACTGAGTAGGACACCGCACCGGCCATAACGCTGCGCTGTTCTTTCAACATCACTAGCGGCCTCGTCGTTGCCCTCCTCCACCAATACCACATCCGGCTTGGCATGATCAGTGCTGTCCAATAGGTTGCAGTAGAACCACTCGCGGAGATATTTCTCAACAGCTAGGCGAACGACGCTTGGAAAGCCGAATAGCAACACAGAGAGATGTTCCTCACGGAGGGATGCAGTGCATCGTTCTAATTCGAGCGCCGGTTTTCCCATTTCCTCTTGATCGGAATCGCAGAGTCTCATCGGCATCATGACCGTGACCTCGGTTCCCTTCCCTGGCTCGCTGTCCACTATGATCTCACCGGCGAGTAACGACACCAAACTCTTCACGATGGACATTCCGAGACCGACACCATGTGACAACGTCGTGTCTTCCTGGGTAAAGGGGACAAAGAGATGGTTCTCCATGAAGTCCTTCGATATTCCTTTCCCGGTATCTTTGACGGTGAGAGTAATCGTCCGCCGTGAACTATTATCGCCACCTATCTTAGTTTCGCCTGTGGCGGTTTTTGATGCGGAGAGTGTGATGGTTACCGAACCTTCCGTGGTATACTTCAACGCATTACCAATTATATTCATTGCAATTCGGCGCAGGGCCCCAGGTTCGATGAAGTAATTCCAATTCTCCTCATAATCAATCTCGACAACGACAGAAATGTCACACCGGTCTGTTGGCCTGTCGTATGACTGTCCGGCCTCCAACACGCCGGCAATATCCTCACACAGCAAGGCAATGTTCGTGCATACGTATAAGCCCTTGAAATCCGTGTCCGGGCCTGGAGGAAGATGCATCTTGTTTGAAAGGGACCAATCTGCGTCAGGAGGCCGCCTCTGCCGGTATTTGTGTTGCTGTCGCTCAAACTGATTGATTCTTGCATATGATAGAACACTGGTAAGCGTTTCGTTAAGCGCCGAGCCAGACGATTCTATTGTGTCGGCCAAACCCGTCTGAAAAGGGTCTAAATCGGTATCCGCAAGGAGCTGTATGGAGCCGAGGATGCCATGAAGTGGAGTTCCTAGTGATGTCAATGTGATGTCAGATGTGTTTAGAGTGGGCGTGATGGCGTACTCAGTTCATGACTGATCGAGGAGATAAAAGCTTCCTTTTGCTTAGCAGCTGCTGATGCGTCGATTCTGGATATTTCGGACTCAAGGACATGCAAAAAGCCACGAAGAGAGGGAAGATCCGTAGTATCTGATAACACAGGCAACGTTCGCGTGGACCATGCGAGACATCCAGCAAGGCGCTTCAGGCTTACAGGATCCGTCAGAGGCTGGAATATCATCTGGCGGATGCCTGGGAAGTTCGAAATGAGACGTCGTGTCTGTTCCGGTGAATCGTCCTCAATGAGGGTATCGTTCCTTAGCAGGTAGCAGATATGCGTGGTATCGTGGAAGTACCACATGTTGCCGTCGGGATAGCTATCCATCAGCAGTTGGAGGTGCGCTTCGTCTAATTTAGCTAACCCCATCGTAGTTTCGTTTAGGGATTTACTCTCGGGAGCCAAGCCTGGGTTACGCGTAGAAATGCCAAGGATCTCAGCGGGACGCTCAACGTAGATACCTCTCAGATATTCCGGGCTCGTATACGTTCTTGTAGTTGCGCCTTGTACCCCGCCACTGTTACCTTGCTGGCGTAGCGGAGCATCCGGTGGTGGCCTACCGTTCTCGGGAGAGAAAGGGTCGTCACCGATGCTTTCTTCGGGGAAGCGCTCCCTCTGTGGCCTTTGTACTATCTCGCGTTCTAGTTCTTCTTCTACTTCCGCCATAGGTTGGACGACACCATGGTAGCCAATTAGACCATCAGTGAAAAGCACTCCGTCAACTTGCAAGGCTTCTTGCAAGCATTCCGCAGCTCTTCTGAAAATTTTCCGGTAAGTAGTTTCACCCTGGCCGCTGCTACGCTTACTGTCCTTATTGACTTGAGCGGTAATAACTCGTGCTTTGTGTATCTCGTCCTCCTTTACGACGCGTTGGGCTGTCTCGATTTCAGCATGTATGAGTCGCTTGGATTCAGCGCCCATGCTGAAGTCATTTTCCGGCAATGCAACATTTTCAGCTTTTGAAGGGTCCTGGTCATGTCGGAGTGCCAGGTTCTGCACTTCTTCAATCTGCACCTTCCTGCGTCGTTGTTGATCTGTCCTTCCTAGGGAAGGAGGCTCTTCCAGCTGCTGATCCCTAATTGCACGAGACTCAACGAACCGACAAAGCTGATCATTCATCCTCTTCCATCTCTCTTGGACTGCTGTCTCGCGAGCGGATTCAAGCTGAGCCATACATTTCTCCGCGGTGACCGTTAAGAGTTCTCCATCCTTGTCAGAAAAACCCTTTCGTGCGGAATCGTCAACAACAAAGACGGCCCCAATGGTTGTGCCTTGTTTAGAAGTGATGGGCGTCCCAGCATAGAAGGACAGATGCGGAGCGCAACATACAGACGATAGTTTGGATAAGCGGTCGTTTTGATTCAAAGACAATACAGTGAAGATTGTCTCTTTCGATGACGCTGGAGACATATTGACAGAAATCGTTTGCTGGAAGATCCAAAGCCATTGTTGCAGGTCGGCATCATCGGTCCCTAACCAGCTGGCGCTTTCAGCGCGGGACCCGTTTTCCTCGCTCGGTTGAGGCCTGGGAGTGCCGGCGAGGAAATAGGGCGTATTACCGTCTGTTAACACCACAAAAGCTCCTTGGACGGCTATGTATCCCATTAGTGTTTACAAACTACTAGAGGCGCGTAAACATACGCAAGCGGAGACGTAGAAGCTCCACATGCATGATAAGAGCATCGTGAAGAGTGGAGCGCTCTGACAGTCTGAAGGAAAAAGGAGCCGCATAGGTGCGGGGAGACTGGCCGTTCGAACCGGTCACAGGCAAGAGCTGGAGATATTTAATCAACTCGTGGTTCCTGATAGTGGCTTGGAAGGAACGCATTTGAGAATCTGGCACGGAGCGTAATGCGCGATCGAAGTATATAATAGTGTATAGGTGTATAGGACGAACACTGTTGGAATACACGTCGCAGTTACCAGGCGGGGTGTGACGCGGTTTTGAGTGGCGATTGACGTCATCGGGCTCAAACTACAAACTGATACAGCTGCTCCCAGCGAAGCGCTTGCAGCCAGCATACTTGTATGAATTCAACAGATACCAGGCTCTGTCCTCCTTTATCAGCTTCGCTAGCAGGGATTTCAACAGCGTACAGCGAGAATTTCAGCATGGAATTCTTCGTACAAAGTAGTAATAAGCAAACCGGTACGGACGTGCTGACTTATTGCTCTCTCAACACCATAGTATCCTGAATAGCGCCCATAATGCGTCTCGCAGAGTCTACGATACTTTTACTAACCTCCTCCGCACCTACGATCGAGTCGTAATGCGAGCGCGGCACAAGCCTCGGGTCCTTGACGAAGATACGAGCGTCGCGCATCTTACGATAGACAGGCGAGACCGCGACCTCTCTGATGTCATTGAAGATGATCTGGAGTTTGGTGTACAGCTCTTTCGCAACGAAGTTGTCGTAACTACACAGCGAGAGGAGATTGAGATGTGAGGATGCGTAAGAGAGGTCTTGGCCAATTTCTTCGTCGTAGAGCCCGAGCAGCTTCTGTGAGGCGCTGAAGAGGAGTATTGCGCAGCCAGTGAAGCTAGTATAACTGATCCTGCATTAGCGGCCCTACGACCATTCCTTTGGGGGCTAACGCACATGGATACCCAACAGTGGGCTCGGACAAGATTGTCGATTTGCAGTAGCGAAGCCACCCGAGCGGATTGCCGTGCCGCCAAAATGCACTGCTCCTCGAGATATGCCAGATCCTCTAGACCGTCAATTTCGACTGACGCATTGCTCAGGCGGAAATTCCCTAGGTCGACCAAGCACTTCCGATAAGGCTCGGTGAATATACCAAGGAAAAGGATATGGATTTGTAGCAGAGACCGCTTCATGGCCAAGTTCATACTGAATGGCCTTGCAAGACTGAGTCGACTTAATTGCATGGGTGGTGGCAGCGTACGGTGCCATTTGTCAAGGGACTCGAGATGAGTTCGGGCTTGCTCAGCCTTTGGTTGGGCTGTGGTCTTGAGGTCGAGCGCTATGTATGCACCTAGTTGGCCGAGTTCGCGGACTCGTTCTTGGAAAACTGCTGGCCCACTTTCAGCTTGTGAAGGAGGAGCATGATGTAACTGCACACTGTTAGTAGACAGATCGCGAAAGAGAAAGAGGGGGAGCAGGCTGCTCGGTGAGATGGTATATTTCGTACAGCCAGATCTTCGTGCGTAACTCGTGATTCATGATTGGTGTTATATGCAAACCAGCTTAATGTATATCAGTGACCAAGCCAGGGGAACGGACATAGAGTACACAGACCTTTCTAGGAAGAGGACGCTTCGGAATACGTTCCACCAGTACCGTAATTCTTCTTCGGTTGTATTATTCAAAAACGATGAAGAGAGGAATTGCTGCCTTCCAACGTTGAGTGCTGCCACTTCTAGCTGTCAGTTCATCATGCATAGATTCAAAGCGACGTAAGTCACTCACACATAAGTTTTCTTGCGCTCTCCACATTGTTAGCGAAACGAATAATTGCCAGGCAACCGAAAAGCCGCATACAGTGCAGCTCAGATATAGTGGAGGTTGAAGACAACAAGTACAAGAAAAATTCTAGGAATTGCTCTCGGAAGGACCTGTCACTCATTTCCCCATCGCAAAAGCTCCCAACTGCTGCCATTGCAAAGACTTCGGTCGCGTGCACCGGTGTGCCATCGTTTTGTGGGTGGTAAACGGATTTGGTAAGGGCCATGGCCTCCTTCTGGTCCCAAAGATGAAGAAGCGCACCTGTGCCATTGAGGAAGTCTTCAACAGCTTGGGTGGTTACATCTTCTATCGGATAGGGTGCGACTCTGATCAGATGTGGGTTGATACCCTGGGCAGTTAGAATATCGCGCACTTCCGCCATGCCACACTTCACGGGAGATGTCATATCGTGTGGCTGACCCTCCAAACCAGAGTCGTAGGGGTCGAAGACCATCCGTTGGCAGCCATCGAGATCTTCCTGCTCCGGCAGGACAGGTAGTGGAGCAGACGGTGCAGTCTCAGACGTGGATGGAGCTTTACTGTCCGGTAGTATTCGTATTTTCGGGCTGTGCCGTCGTTGCTTGAATGCCTGCAAGTATATTTGGTACGTTCGATAATTCTCTGTTTGCTTATAGCGCTCGAGGTCTTTCTGGTAATTTTGCAGCCTTAGAAAAGCTGGTCTCTCCCACCTGCTCACTCGCTCCTCTTGTGGGAGCTCTCGCCAGCGCCTTTCAACTGCCTTTTCGATGTCGGCGAGAGGCACATGGCTGAGTGCTGGATCCTGTCGAACATGTTCGCCGAAAAGTACATAAGCTAGCTTAGGCTTCCTTGGAGCATTGGGATCTGGTCGCGGTTGTGTTACAGACCGTCTAACAGTCGGCTCGGAATAAACGCAGCGTGTGTCTCGTTTCCTACACTCTGAACATGTCGGACGCTCGGTCGTGCACTAGCTTTTGGGTCAGTGGTATTCATACATAGAAGACATAGAAGACATCTTCGGCGTGTACCTTTGTAATGCGTCCACGGCATGCTTCACATGCCTAAACCCCCCAAGGGAAAATCTTTCCCAACGTGCGAAAGGGGTAACAGCCCGTTCCCAAGCTCAGACCCGTCAGGAGTATTAGTGATTGTCTTGCGTAAGGGTAGACGGGATCAACCTTTATATATGAAACTAGCTTGTAGTGTTCGGCGGTATGACATTGCCAGCAGTCAATACGTTACACCGTCTATAAGTCTTCGGTTGTACTCGAGTGTACATCGGCACGCTTTCGCCTATATCTCATGTCGGAAACAAGCCTGGCCTGGCGCTGCGATTGCTTCGCCCTCTCTACACCAGGGCTGCAAACGTCATAGTGATCCTAGAGGCCTTCACCCGCGGAATTTCACCGACGTTGCTAGGCTGGCGAAAAACCCCTGTTTTGGGTCTGACGTAAGCAGAACACCAAAACCTTTGTCGCCACGCATCAAAGCGAGCTCTCGATTAAATCTTTTAAAAATTTAATATACTATACCTATAGCTATTATCTATCTCTAGAAAAATTTCCAGCTAGATATCACAACTCCTTGCTTTCCTGCGCGGCTGTAAAGGTTTTGGTGTTCTGCTTACGTCAGACCCAAAACAGGGGTTTTTCGCCAGCCTAGACGTTGCTAAAGTAACAGCCGCCTTTTTGGTTACATAATGCTTAAGCGAACAGCGACGTGGTCAAGTGCGCGCTTCCACAGCCCTGTAACACTGTACCAGAGCTGATTTCCGTCAGGATTGCAAAAGCCTTCGAGAAGTGTGACGGATGCCAGTCCAGCAACGCGCTCGAGCGGCGCTGCGTTTTGGTTGGCGGAGAGAAGGGGCGGAGGCAATGGCCGCGATGCAGCCTTAATATCACCCCGCCAAACGTATTTGGTGACGGCATGCTCTCCCAGTCCTCAGCAGCGTAAATCAGGGTAAAGTGCTTACTATGTCGCCTCAAGCAAACGGTTATATTTACTTGGCAATTGTGCACAATCCTCATCAAAACGGTTCCATTAGACGTAAACTCATGCGGTGCGGGCGAACAGACTTTTGGCATGGAACTGTATATAACATGACGTCATGATCTGGCCGCCCATTGGCCACGGCTCAACCCCCTTTCCCTAATTTCCCCGTTACCACAACCCCTTTTTTCTCTGCTGTTCGGCCCAGACTTCAAAAGTATACTTTGCCCGCTCAACAACCTGCGCGGACGTCTGTGCATGTGCGCGTGCCCTTGACCTTCTCCTGTACCACTGCCAAGTTCAACGACCACCGGAAAACCAAAGGCTGACTGCAGGATAAATGGACAACGGCCACCATCCGCCTGAGGGCTCCAGCTCCAGAGAGCCAAAGGTAGCCATACCAAGAATACGCGGCAAGAACTACCAGAAGCCGCCCGCCATACGAACGCCTCGAGTTCGTAGTGAAGTAGTGAGCAAAGCCGTAAGTAAGCGTCCAGGACCATTGGGCCAGCGCTGACTTCCGCATGATAAAAGTGTCAAAACAAGTGGGCCCAATCCATGTCCATATCGCCAAAACTTCGGCTTGCTGACTGCCAAAATCAAATGCTCTGGCAATCCCCCCCGTTGCGTCAACTGTCAAAGGCAGGGCCATAGTGTCATTACGACCTGGGCGAAAAGGACCGCCTTAGGGGTTTTCAGGTTTTTGTCTTTTTGCCGCCCATCTTCTCTGACTTGAAAAAAAGGGGCCCAGCGCAAATCCCCGCCGGCCAACTCTTGATCGATGTCAGCAGCCAACTCAAGGGCGGGGCAAAAAGAAGCCCGAGGATACGTTGGCATCCTTCGAAGATGACACGCCGCCTCCTCCGCCAACCCCTACGCTGTCGCATGGCAACCCGGGAAAGAAAAAACTTCATCATTCCATGCCAGCGACGCGCTGAGCGGCAGCTCTGCAGACGGCGGAAAGCTCACGTCTCGGCTTCCGTCGGCCCCAACGAAGACTTAGATTTCATACAGGAGGACATTCTCGTGCCGTGGGGCCCAGAGAACACGGGCTACATGGGCCGCAACTCCCCGCCCAATGGCTCGAGCGCTTAAAACCAAATCAAAAACAAACCAAAGGCCCGAGCCGTCTGATATCCAAGGGCCGCCCGGGACCAAAAGGGAACGCCTTCAGAGCGTGCTGGGGCGCTCCGTAGGCGTCAACACCACAGCGGCAATCCCCCAACCTCCCGACAATGACCAATTCCCCAGCTACTACTTTTTTTGACAAATCCGACATTAAACATTGACTTTGGGTTGATCCCCCGTCATACCTGCTGCTGATACGGCCGAGACTCTGTTTGAATACTACAAAGCAGTCGTCCCCCCCATTCCCAACCCCTAGGTGCCCGTTCGAAAGCTCAACTGCAAATGTTCTTCACAAGGGATCGGGGGTACCCCCTACACTCGTTGGGGGTTTTTTAAAAGGGAAAAGGCTTTTCATGAATCTTGTTTTCGCCATCGGTGCACGCTACTCCCATCTCATAGGCGCCGAATGGCGCCAAGGGGACCACGACCACCCTGGTCTATATGTGGAGAGCAGTACATCTCTTGCAACCAATCTATCAACACTTTAGTCACGCAGCCCGATCAGGTGCTGATACAGGTAGGCTCGTTTGACACACTGAATCGAATGGCACTAACATCTGTTTAGGCGTTTGGGCTTCTCTCCTTATACTATCTGACGATTGGACATGTTAGCAGGTACGTCTCACTGCGAACAGCATCAAAACCAAGTCGACCATCGAATCAGGGCGCGTGCTGACAATGAGGTTGCAGAGCTTGGTACATGATTGGGTATCGCTCTTCGCCATGCAAAAACCGCGGGTTTTTTCCCTTTGACACGAGGATCCTTTCATATCTCCCAAGAGAAAGAAGTCCTTAGCGCAGATCTGGTGGTCACTTTATTCTATTGAATGTGTCCTTACTTCCATAACCGGACGTCCCCGCATTGTGAGCCCTATCGACTGCACAGTACCGCCACCTGGCGCGAAAGGAACTGAAATGGAAACCCCGTCACGTAAAACCATATTTCCCAAGTAAGCCGGGCCCCCGAATCTTCTACGGGGTCCCCCCAAAACCCAAACACGGACAAAAAGATCCATTTTACGTAGCCTACGTTAGGCTCGACATTCTTATGGACAAGATCCTATCTGGCCTGTACTCCGCGAAAAAGTCTACCAAGTCCTGGAAGGTTGCGCAGAAGGAGATCGCTTCGCTATCTGACGAGTTGGAAACCTGGGCTTTACATTCCCTGTCTCGAGGTCCAGCTGCGGCAACCGCCGCTACGTCAGAGCACGATTTGAGTCGAGAGCAGCTGCTACTCTATCTCTACTACCACAACGCTAAGATATGCATCACTCGACCCTGTCTATGCCGGCTGGACTTGCGCATAAAAGGACAGAGCGAAAATTCGATTCGATTCAATCAGAAAACCGCGGAGGCCTGCATAGGTGCAGCCTTAGATATCACCTCCATGTTGCCAGACCCTCCAAACCCTGCATGGTATTACAGGAATGGTCCGTGGTGGTGTGCTGTTCATATCAGTGAGTCTCTCAGATCCTATAGCAATCAACCTGGTTAATCACTATGCGTAGTCATGCAAGCCCTTACGGTCCTACTTCTTGAGCTGTCGCTGGACGGTATTCACTTGACGGTCGAAAAGTCATATATCACATCCTGTATCGACAAGCTTATACGATGGTTGACTTCGATGAAGTCCGTTGACGCAGTCAGCGAGAGCGCATACAACGCTGTGGCTAGAGTCTTGGACAAGCAGAGCAAACAAGAAGCGGCTCATCGGCAACTACCCCAGCCACAGCCGACTGGTCCCTACCAACGGCCATATGACGCGCAAGATATAACCCTTGACCCGCAGCAGCAGTACCAGCCGTACAGTCAGCCTCTTAAATTGCAACAGTCATATGTTGCATGGCCAAGCGCTGACCCATTCAATAGCAACAGCTTCTACCCTCAGTCCGATACAGACAATTTCTATCTCAAAGACGTCTCTGGGTATGAATACCTGAACGATCCTAACGCGGGACTGATGGATTTCGGCCAGCCACTCAACCTCTTCTATGGAAATCCTTACGAGGCGACTTTCGATCAATGGGAATGGGATCCGGCAGCGTCTGAGGATCTCGATCTGGGACAGCAGCAAGGTCCTAGTGGAGGTCAAAGCAGGTATCAAGGGTATAGGCATGGTTAGCTAATGGTTAGCTAATGCGACGCTTCCTGCGAACGCTTGAATCCTCATGCTGGGACATATTGGTGAATTTTGATGGGCACAGGGAATGGAGAAGGGTGAAGACCAAACGAGGAAGCACGCAGAGCACATGAATATCATTTTGACGCGCTTAGGTGATGTGGCGGCCAATGGCTGAGTATGATCTGTGCAGGGCAGCACCCCGGTCGAAACTTGGTATACACAGGCACGCCTGTGACTCTGTCACGCGTCAACGCCCATGACTGTAGCACTGCGACCAACAATCTATTAATACTACATAGCTAATCAAAAGAATCCTGTCCTAACGCGGGTTTTTTTCGGGTCATAATCGTGCTCAGGGGACTGGATGGCGCTAGGACGTTTTGCAGGAATGGCAGGTAGTGGCTTTTCTGATACTACGTGGTCGAGGGTACCAAACGGCTTCTCGAGACGTTGGTCTTCGATTAATTTCCTTAGACTAGTCGGGAAACCACTTAGAGGTCTCACTGTACTGGTGATACCTCCTAGAGAAAACGCAATCACCTCGTCTATACTTTCAGCACGAAAATTGACTCGTCTCTTGAATGGCGGGGGTCCCTTGGGTATGGATTGAACACAATGGATAGGACTTCCTTGGATAAGGAACCAAGAAGAGGTCTCGAGTAACTGGTTGTACAAGTAGCGGAGACCTTCGACTGGTAGGTCAAGGCGACAGCGAATGTATCCCAAGCAAAGATAATTACCTCCGTCGAGGATAGGCAAAGCATCCAACTCGAAGTAGAACATGGAAGCTAGCATTAAGTCTACCACTGATGTTATAGCGATGTTGTCCTCGTCGATCTTTCGTAGGGCTACATCCTTGAGACAGGGTATCTGGTTTGCATCGTCCAAGCTAGGCTCTGGACCAGTGAACTTTACATTCAGCCGGTGATACCTAGGACGTACCTTCGGATCTAAAGAATTGTAGTAGCGTTTCCATGCATCTTCGCTATCCAAGTTCCGCATGAAACTGTTGAACAATCGCTTGTAGAAACGTGGGATAGTAAGACCTAAGCTCGCAGATTTCGCCGCAAATCCAGTACCGAGCGAGAGAGCGAAATCAGGATCGCGTTTAGTCGGCCAAAGAAAATGACTTTCCCACTGAGCTATGCTGGCTGGGTTATTGTGTTGTAATCCCCCATCCTGGTAGGTGCCTAGGCTACGCACCGCTTGCGGTTTAAAGAACCAGGGCGCGGCCGACGTGCAACATGCCCTAAGTCTGTCAGTCTTCTGAAGTCCTTGCAAAGAAAGCTAAAAGTGGTTTCGACGTACGCATCACTAACAGTGATATCGTTTTGCGCTTTCTCGGCGCGGACGACATCATACCCTACTGACAGTGAGCAAGCGCCTGTCGAGATGAGGGCGCACACTTACCGACATCATCATGGCGTCTTCCCCCATTGTAGTTAGTAAATAACCATGGAAGCGAATCGTGAACTGCAGTGGTGGTGACCGCCACCTTAGTATCGTTCCGCAAAGGGTTGAACATCTGCAAAGTGTAAGAGGCTGAAGCCTTGGTTAGTAGTACTTGGCCTGTGGCCTTCGTTATAGCTGGTTGGGATAGGCTGCAACCCTCGGAGCGTTGTCGGGGCTTCATCGGCGCTCCACGGACCCTTAGAAGTTTCTCGAACCTAGCACTACGTGATACATAGACTCAGCGCAAGCGTAGTGTAGCTTCTCTATCGAATTCATTACTGTTATACCTTGCACTTATGGTCAACCCATCGCACCCTTACACAAAGGAGAGTTGAACGTCTTCCTAAACGCTTCCTGAACAGCAGCAAGGCTGTACTGGCCATCCTCGACATATGCAATAACAAGTTGAAGAGCCCTCGATATCAAGGCCTTTCGCCTGCCAAATGTTTTTGCAGCGACTTGCTCGAACCGCTGTATAGACTCCGTAGCGCCCCATTGTAACAAGAACATTCCGATAACAACAAGACCGCCTACAATAGTCAGTTAAATCACTTATTTACCTCGAGATTCTTACCAGCTGATGTGCCGCATACGAAATCGAAGTGATCCCTAATCGCGCAGCCTAGCGGAGCAAGTGCGCGGTCGAGATGCTGAAGAAAGATAAGGGGGATCACGCCTCTGACGCCGCCTCCATCCACACTCAGCATGCGTATACCCGCTGTTGGAGGTACAAAACGAAATATACAACTCTTGTAGTTGACTCCACATAGAATGCACTCTGTGAACTCAAAGGTGTTTCTTTCAGATCGGGAGCGAGCTCCAAAGATCCGAATACATGGATCGCATAAGGCATGGCCACATGTAAGCACCTTCTCGGGCATGCGCAGGAAGCAAGAAAAGCACGTCCGATGGCTCTTAAGATCTGCTAGGTGGGTATGATTTGCCCTCAGGGTTTGGCGGTGAAGCTCACTTGCAGGTAATGTGTTGTCAACGTATGTCTTGAAGATATCTTTGAACTCTTGGAGCACTGCTGACAAAAACTTGTGCTGGATCTCCTCAAGCATCGTATAAGCAGCGATGGCCGCTTTGCACGGAGCAGAGTATAGTGCATCGAAAAGGTAATCAGGCGCGAAGTCTATACTAGTCAACTGATGTCAGGCTAAGCAGGCGCGAATCTTACTATGGGAACCTGGTGGGTAGCTAGCGAGTAGCAGAGCTGAAGCTAAAAGAGGTGCGGCAAAATGCCATAGCCAGGCCTGTGAAGGCATTTGCAGAAGGAAGTCTGAGAGACAGGTTTCTAGAAGATCTGTTGTGAAGCCTCGTGGTCGCGAAGCACTAGCGAATCGTAAAGGCTTAGTGATGTTGTTGCTAATTTGATTTAGTGCTTGCTTGGTGAGAGCCTGGAAATGGGCGTAGTTAAATTGCGTAAAATCGCTAGCGCGTTCTCTCATGGCGGCTTCAGACATCGCTAATAAGCGTCTCTTCAAAGCCCGCGCGCGCGCTGCAGTCGATTTACATGACTGCAATCCAAGAACCTCGATCTCACCAATCTTGGGATGATCGAGCTGATTCTCAGGGCTGCAATTGTTTGTTTGCAAAGCTTGCTGGAGGTGGACAGTTGCTTTGTTGGCCGCGATTCTCTCGTCGAATGTATCTGAGGTTGTCTCTACGACTAACAAGATGCGGGGCACGCTCGGTAAATCTCGTGCCGCCACTGCGTCCACGAGATCAGCTAGCCAGTTTGCGACAGCTCTTGGGCCCCCTAGATCACTAACAAAACAACATATCAAACTAGAAAAAGGAGAAAAGACTCGCGCACATAGCGTCGCATTCACATTTCAAATCTCTAGTAGAGACCAAGACGTCGTAGGCGTCGCGCTTCTAGCCGCAGTGGGATTGGGGGGTTGCGACTAAGAATTCTGCATGCCGCAATCTATTACGACAAGCGGCGTGGCTCCGCTTTGCCGGGGTAGTGACCAAAGATACACTTCCTTGTGTACAGGCACTGCAAGGTCGCCTCCTAGAAGTCTATCCAGAAGGATCGCTTTAGACCTCCGTCCTACAAAGGTCACGAAAGACAGGCGGTAACTGTTCTTAACAGCAAGAGCTTGCGATTCAGGAAGTAACGGTCTAAGTTGAGGCTCGTAGTATGTTACGACATTCCCGCTAGGGGAAGTCTCAAAGGTAATCTAGGGGAAAGAAGTCATGTTTTGCGATAACCAGCGAATGTCTAGTCTGGTAAAGATTTTATGCTGTTAGGCGGGCTGTTACTGACTAACCGTTTTTGGAGATCGGGGTCGTGTTTCCTGCGGGCGCGCAAACCGACGCAGGTGACTGTCGTGCTCACTACGAGCTCGCGACGCGGCTTTCTGATGCTTGTGCAGATGCAGAGTCTTCTTAACTTCAGTTTAGTCTAAGAAAATAAGACTATGCGTCATAATAGAATTGCTAGATGAAGACTTTGCTGCAAAAAAATTATTATGTTACCGAGGAATTGCCCGCTTACCGCTGCACGCTTTGAAGTATGAACACAAGATCGTGCAGGAAAAGCATCGAAAGACCTCTCACGAGAACGTCCTACGCCTAGAGAAGAAATATGAACAAGTTAGTTACGAAAGGCTGCAAGAGGAGAATGTAATTAATGCGATCGTCAAAGATAGTAACCTAATCGCGGCATTGTCCACTTACGGCATGTCTTTAGACGAGATGCGTTATCTCCAATAGCCACAAGATGCGCCTGCCTTGCAGATTAAAGACGTACAGTGTCTTTCTAGTATACACCGCATTAAAGCAGCAAGACATTTTCTGGACGAGAACGACAAATAGTAGATTGTGAGGCTGTTCTCCTATAGTTAGTCAAGCGCTAGCTATTCTCTGCTTCTATTAACCCTAGAGCAGATACCCCTAAGCTAGTGCTAGTCCGTATTATAGAGTCATACTCTAGCGAGAAGAAGCCTTTAGATGGCGAAATATTTCGCAAGATAAGGCTCTATTATCGGGAGAATGATTAAGACGCTGAAAAACGATGGTGGTCTCACCTAGAGAAATCTAAACCTAAAGACTTGCGGCAACTTCTTAAACGCTCTTCACTTACTGCCGGCTTTGATGCTTTAATCGATTTTGCCCGGGGGTGTGGTTAGTTTTCAACTAAGTGCTCCACAGACTCCTAGGGCTTAAGTGCGATGAAGTATGTATACTTCCAGGCATGATAAGAAACCCCCTGACAAGGATAGGAAATGACGCTGTATTTGGATCATATAGGAAGATCTTGGAAGAAGATTCTGCGCTGCGGTAATACAACGTTGCCTTTCTCTGCTGTTGATGCCGATACTGTGCAGAACCTTGAACTTCTAGCTCCTACATATTCGGACATCGACAAGAGCTTAGTAGTCGATCTCATGGAACGTGGGGAGATATTCTCCTCTCAACAGGACCGCGACATACGAAAGATTCTACTCGAGAACATATGTGCTTTTCCTGGCGTCATCCGTTCGTTACGGACCTTTTTCGAAACGCATAAATACTTGGAGCCTCTTTGCGAGGCGCTCAGACAACTGCTGGGTGAACAGATGAAACGTACTATACGCTCAAGTTTCACCGGGCTCTTCTTCACTCCGAGCAAGAACATGGTCCAAGTAAATGAGACTGAGGACGTTGAAATCCAGGTTGCGCTCAGCCAGCAAGAGGCCATGATGGTTGCGTATACAGAACTGTGGGCATTCTGTAGCCGCCACTTCGATGGCTTAACAGCATCCACACCCAGAAAGGAAACCGGAGAGCCAAAGCCTCTCGTAAAGGGACCCAATCCGGTGGTCTGGCAACATCTGGCGAGGTTTGCCTTGTCCCGAGGCTTTCGGATATCGCACGCGCAAGCTATCACGAAAAAGCAGGAACACTACCATGCACAGCTTGCTATAGATTACCTTCGGAAAGCAAAGCCAATGTGTTCTGACTTCTCCGACGACCACGTCTAGCGAGTCATAACAGCGGTTGGACCAGACGAGAGTTTCGATATACCCGAATCGGCCCTAGGACGCACCCATCTTAGTCTCGATCGTAGAAGTGGTCGTCCTTTCGAGCGCGACTTTGCTGAGGAGAAACATATTATGTTCTTTCCACAGCTCTATAGCGGTCCACCTTGCGAGAACGCAAACTTGAGACTAGTGCGTCGTGATCTGTTTTTTCCCGCATTTCGTCTCTTTAGACCTTCAGGTATACAAATCCTGACTACGACAAAGGTTCTCGCTGACGTGCTACTAGCAAACTGACTTTGGACCAACCACGAATGCTCAGTATTCGATCAAAATCCCCCTGGACCCCGATCCCCCAGTAAGCCCACCCGACCCAGATGTCCCGTATGCTGAACTTCAATCACGTTACGCCAAAAGGAACGTGAGTATCAGGATATTTTGCTCAGCGCGATGCACGGAGAACATCTGGAAAACGGAATGGAGATCTGAAAGGCCAGTTGCAACGATGCTCGTCGGAACGTCAGCGACTTGACCATGTTTGGGCCGCATCAAACAAGATACAAGGAAGTAATGCACAAATGGAAAGCGGAGGGGCTGAGAACAAAGACCTTCGCTCAAGTGCGCTCAGCTCAGACCCAAAACTCAAGGCCGCACAGGATTCTGGGAAGAGAACTCCGCGTATAGTCGAGATACCAGAGCCTCTTGCAATAGAGTCTACGACCATGTCAGTCTTGGAAGATAGCGACGAAGAAGTGTCGGAGGTTCCACCACTATCCGCCTGGGGAGAGAGAACCGGCAATGGTTATGAGATCTTCGTCGTGGACGAAACTTCCGAACAAGATGTCTTGATGGGGTATAGCTGGGATATCAGCTCAAGTCGTGAGGAAGCGGTATCTCAGATAAGTGAATCGTTGCGCCAAGCGGCATCAATTGCCGAGGGTAAAGAGTACTACGTAACAACAGTCCTGGGGAAACGCATCGTCAATACAGATCCTGAAATCCTTTTCGGGACTTTCGAGACTTGTCAGACGTTAGCTATTGGGACTGAAAAGGGTATAAATAAGTGGACTTCCGCTCTGACTGAGGCTGCGCCATCTAAACTATCGTATCAGTCGACTGTTACTATTCAGCAAGCTACCAGTCAAGCTCTAGAAGGGAAAAAATCCCCCAATAGCTAGGGAAAAGGATATCAGGCTTCACCAACGCGACCACGACTGACGGCTACCCAGAAAACTAGCCAAGACATATAGACTCGCCCGGGAGCGGGGTCTTTTTCGCCGCTCCCCATCAACATCAAAAAGCTAGACCAAAATTAAACATCTCTAGCCTTGTATTCATGACGTACAGTGACTGTTTTTTCTATCAAAATTTAAGTTACTGTTTTACCCTTGCGAGTTGTCCCAAAATGGTGTTATCGTAGTAAAATTTTACTTAAGATACGGCTAACTACCGTATCCTCATCCTCTGCACGCAGAATTTGCGCTTTAATCTTTCGTAAGAAAAATTGGCTGTACAAAGGGTATACAAGTGATTGCTGGAAATATCTATGGAACCTTCGTCGATGTAACCTAAACTCTACTTTCCCGCACAAAGCACTACTATTCTACTCCTATGTTCATCTTTGACGGAAATATGATGTTTCTTGGCAATGGACTGGATGTGGATGTACGACATTTTTGGGGCGAGGGGGGTCGTGAGGAGGGCCACACTTCCCCTAGCTGATGCTGGCCCAAATCGTTTCCTGGGTACCCGTCGACCCTGCCGCCCCTTCTATATCCCTGCCCGTACTGTCGGTGGCGTTTTGTGTATACAGGGTGGGTGAAGTGGACGACGTTGTGCAGACGATCTGCCCCATGGCCGCGCGAAGACCATCAACAACACTCTGATAGTGAGCTGGCCTTTTATTTAACGGATGCCCTCTTAACCTGTTTGCAATCCCGTATAGCTGTTCGACCACTGATAGTAGACGTACATAGTCCTCGACAAACGGTGGCCCGTTTTTCCCCTTTCTTCGGGGGTAAAAACAAGAGGTGTGATCCCAGGCTTCTCCCCCGATAATTGATATGCGAATCCCATCATCGATGTGGTGGAGTTCTGCCCTTTTTTAAAAATGCCTGACAGGAAATGTTGAATGATCGGGGAGAGATTCTGGGGTGGTGCGCGTGGCATTTTGATTCGTAAAAAGACGAGGTGTGGAATAGGGATGTTAGTGATTGCAAGTGCGTGATATGCGGAGGTCTCTGGATGCTGATTACCGTGTTGACCACCGGGTAGAAAGGTGTTGAGGTCTCTATCACTGAACGTGGCACAGTTACAAAGGGAAAAGGTTTCCCGGGTTTCCCTTTTCAGGGAGACGCAGGCGGCAGATTGAAACACGCTAGCGGGCCCAAAATTATCATCACCAAAAAAAAACCGACGTGCTGAGTGCTGGCGGCTGGGGTGTGGCTTATCCCCAAAAGGCTGTTGTGGGGAAGGGGTGGAGTAGGAGACATAAAGGGGCGCCTACAACCGGGCGGGTTTCTACACGCCCCTTCCTGGGTCGGGAAAGTTCCCCTACCCGGAATCCGCGACCTTGTTCTTCGTGTTCATACGGGGCATAAAACTATCTGCTTCGAGGTAGGATTGCTCCATTGAATGAACGAAAAGGGAACTATTCAAGTTATCGTATACGTGATCGCGTACGGCTCGGCGATGGGGGTTCTACTGGGCTGGAGGCTATCGCAATATCTCACCACCAACTCGCGAGCGCGTCTTTCCCCTTTCACGAAATGGGCGGTGTATAGTGTAGTCACTCGTAAACAACGGTAGCTCCGACGTTACGATTTTGCGGGATTCGTCATCCCGGCCCTTTTCGTCGCGAACGTCGTAGGATCCCCTGTTTTCATCCCAACTCGAGCTGAGCTATCGCTGCGTTTAGCGGCTTAGCGTCGCTAACTCTGCAATACTGTACCTTGGTGGCAGGTCTAATATTCTACTGGACAAGGTCTTTCGGCTCTCCTACACCAAGCAGCAATTGATGCATCCCATGGGGGGGGACTATCACTGTCATCGAAGGGTTGATTCATGGTATATTCGAGATTTCGCGATTTTCGATCGGCTGTAAATCCCATTGACCTTTCAGTACGTCACCTAGGTATCCTTGTTCTTGCAATGATCTATGTAACGCATCACATAGCTCCTCATTGTTTTGAGCACTATCCCCCGCCCTTCAATTGTGTTTTTTCCCAAGCAGGATACGAGCTTTTCGTCAAAACACATTCGATTCTTGCTGTCGGGATCATGGGCCCGCTTTTGCTTCATATTCAGGTCCTGAATACTTATGTGATCGTGTGCATCACTATCGCAGCCTCGATATATCTCTTTTCAAAAAACTCTTGGCTTTTTCATTTTTTAAAATCGCAATGTCGGGTTTCGCCCAACATCTCGAGCAGCTGTTAAAAAAATCTTACAGATCGAAGTCAAGACAAAACGACCTTGGAGCGTAATTTCCTGGAAAAGTTGTTACCTCTCTATACCCCGGCTCCGCAGCCTCGGCCTCGGATTCTGGGAATCTCATCCATTTTTTGGGGGCGGGTCCCTCAACAAGACGAAGGTCAGGCATCAACAATCCCATTCTACTTGTTCAAGGCCCCCCCCCAGGTTTACTCGCAGACTGCAAAATGCTAACGCAGACATGTCTGCTCTGATTGACGGCCCTTTCGGGGGGTTGGAAGCAGATTCTTTCACCAAAACGACAAGATTTTTCTCATGTCGGATGGTATCGGGATACAACTCATTTGTACACAGCTCAATATTTACTTCGTGCACATGTTCAAAAAAGATTTTTCCTCAGGCGGGTAACCGTAGTCTGGGTCCTCCCAAACTCAAAGGTATATTCTTTTGCCCTACCCCTGAACAACAAGGCTGATACACGTTTTAGATAATGCGTATGATTGAAAAAAAAATCTGTTCGCTCTGAACGACATGGATCAAGAGAAAGGTTTTTACCGTCTTCTGCTATTATCCCGAAAAAGTGACAGATGGTCCCTCAAGGCCCTAGAATCATACCACTGTCAGACAGGCTTAATATGCCTTGGATCATAGACAAGGGGTGGGACGCTGAAGCCCGGTAATATGCTAGTTTTAGGTAAGACTAAGAGACTCTACCGTCCCAGAGGGTTAAAACCCTGGTTTTTGGCACTCCAAAGTTTGAGTTGCCGCAAGGGAAACTATTAGATCAAAATTCACATGAGATCGATTTTAGATGTAGCGTCTTTCAACCTAGCGAGTTTAGTCCCGGGGGGGTCTATATCTAGGGCACTATCAAGGAGACTGGGACTGAACTCCCAAATATCGACGTATGGCGTAGATAGGTCTAATAATAGATGCTTCGTGAAGTGTCGGCGCTAAGGTTGGATATAAAGGCTGTCTTTTCCCCTGGGCAATGAGCAAATGCACCTTCGACAGTAAATCTGTATCTAGCCTTTTAGCAGCGTTTTTGGGACTTCACCTAAACATTATGGAAAATCTGACCCGGCATGTCTCCCCGCCATCCTCCGCAAGATTTTGTTTTAACGTGGTCCCCAAAAGGGCGGGTGGTGCGGGGCTGCAACGCACTCGCAACCTGTTTGCGAACCCCTCAACTCAAATCACACAACAACGAAATGCAGCCGCGACTATAGAAGACAAACATATTCGGGAAACATCATCCCAAACTTCAGATCTATCGGGGGATCATGCGCCGCGAGAGAAAAAAAACCTCCCAGCTCTTACAAAGCTTGAAGGTCGGGCGGCTCAGTTAGAAGCGAACGCGGCGAACCTCAGCGGCATTATTAAATACCCTATTGGAGGATAATCAAGGCAAAGGGTGAGGAAGATTGCAAACTTCAAAGGGGGTTGAAACCCGAAGGAAAAATGATGGATGCTATGGTCGCTTTTTCCCGTTTCACAACAGCTGAAGCGATCTGAAAATATACCTACTCTGTTATCTAGATAAACGACTACATCGTCTCAATAGACATCGTGCTTTCTACAGTTACCCAGGTATCACACGAGACCAAGGTGCGGACGACCTCGGGGCTGGATTGAGTCCGTGGTGACCCAAAAGCGATCCCTGTTCCCCCATTTCCTGCGCTATACCACTTTACAGTATTCTGCATTGACGCTACCCTGCTTTTGATATACCGCGTAACCAAGACGCTCATCAGCTCTGCATCCCTTGCCGGGTGCTTCGTTGTCAATGGCTCTTCTAGACGCCCACTCCAGTCTAAATCCTTTGTGAGATACGGTGCGCTGCTACTGGTGGCTGTATCCCTGTTTTGGCATTGCGATTCACGCGCGCCCACCTCGGAACACCCGCCATACTCTGTGCGGGATATCTCGAGACGCCCGGCTCTCTATCCGAGACGCCCATCAGGCTTTTTATCCCGGCTTGCTGGATCTGCCTTGCGCACACACATCCCGCACAGCCTACACGTTCCTTCCTACAGTATCAGGCTCTATCCTGACGGAGTGATCTGTGGCCATGTCCCGCACGGCACGCACCACGACAAACTTGAAGTCGGCGGTGCCATAGGTGTTAAGCGGAGATAAGGAAATGGCGGCAGTTGTCCTTGCAGGCGGAGTTCTCCGGCTATCGCATAGGGTGGCGCAAACACGTGGACTCGGAAGCACAGCACAGCACAGACCACAGATCCATAAAGTGGGTACATTCGCATATTTGTACGATACATCAAATCCGCTCTACATACCGCAGAATCCATGATGAGAGCACACCGAGCGGCAAACACAGCTCATGGCTTTTCCCGTAACGTGCCCACCGCTGAATGGCGCACACCACTGAAATGGCGCACCTCTACATAAAACTATCTTTGCACATTAATAACCTCCCCCCACAACATGCAATAAAGGCGTGCAATAGCTGAAATTTAAACCTCTACTTCTACTACATCTTTCTTGCATGTGGGTTTTTATGTCCTGCCTCCCCCCAGTTCTTGCAGCGTCCCAATACCTCCTGCACTACCACCTGGGGACCCTCTCCTGACGCCTCTCCACCTCTAACTGGATCTCAACATCCCCTTTTCTCAACTATATCCTCTTTCCTCTGCCTGCGATAGGGTCCCTCCCTTCCCGGATTCCTTTTTTTTGCCCTTTTTACGTTCAGATGCTGCCTGGTTTTTTCCTCCCAAGGTTGGCTTTCTAGCCTCAAGCAACGTGTGTAAGTGCCCCCAAAGTTGATCCCCTTTTTGACCTAGCACCCTCAATGATAGAATCAAAGGGGAAAGATTCCTTGTGATCTGTTATCCTCTTGACAATCAGCGTCGTTTGAGCCTCTATCTCCCAGGCGTTGCTTGGTGTTTTGGGTTGCCAAGGGGTAGGCCCTGGTGCAGGTGGTGTTGGCGTACGAGGCTGTACTTCAAGCCTAGATAACACCACATCTGGGTTATGTGGGACTAAGCCAGTTGCTCGAAAGCTTAATAAGATATTGTTCTTTGAGAACGCCTTGTTAAATATTGGCTTGAAGGCAGCCAGGAAGGCTTTCTTGTCGATGTGGTGGATGTAGCTGTCTGCCAAGCCCCTAAGTTCCTTCTTGTACGCCTGCTTCAGCGGGGCAAAACAACCCACATCAAGTGGCTGTAGGATGTGCGATAAGTGTGGAGGCATGCAGAGAGTGATAATATTGCTTTGCTCACACAGATCCTGGAAGGCGAGTGACTTGTGGCTCTCGTGGCCATCATGGATAAGCAGGCGGTGACTACCCACTGTTCGAGCTTCTGTATGCTAGATAAAGTGCTGTAACCAGGCTAGACCAAGCTCGTTCGTTGTCCAACCGTTGTTACTAACACCTATCCTCCAATCTTTTGGGTTGTTGTGATACCAGGCCTAGTCGTGGTGCTTTGCTTTGAGGATAAGGAATGGTGGAATTGACCACCCCATCGCGTTGATGCCAGCGATTAACGTCACCTACTCACAATCGCTAGGTTGAACTCCAAGTGGCTTGAGGCGTCTCTCAGAGGCTGTTACTACTTTAACAGACCCTCTGACGCCCATCTGGAAGCCAGTCTCATCAAAATTATAGACGTCTTCGTCCAAGATCCCATACTTGGCCTTAACGTTGCGTACAAGATTGAACCAGGGCCCAATAATAGCTGGGTTGCTGCACAGGACTCTCTGGTGATCCCGCTGTATTGTCACCTGAGATTTGATCTCAGGTCTCCGGCGTACAAGCCTGTAGGCCCAGTTCTCTCCAACCTGGCCACCACCACGTACAGCTAGTAGTTGATTGGCCATCTCTCGTACGTAGCTGAGCGTAGGGGCAAATCCTCGCGCGTCAAGCTTCCTGATAGACTGTATAATCGCCTCCTCTTCATGCCTCTGCAGCTTTGATGCATTGTGGTGAGTATTGTGATCAGAAGCTGGTTTGGCACGTTGCCTTCGAAGGGTGGTTTCAGGCACGTTGTACACAGCAGCAGCACGTCGCAGGCTTAATGACGCGTCGGATTTCATAGCCTGGATAGCAAGGATAATTCTATCTGTCCGGGGACGTGATTCAAGATTAGGTTGTTGTGGCATTGTGGAGATGGTAGAAAGTGGTGTGGTCTTGGCACTGTGCGCCATTTCAGTGGTGTGCGCCATTTCAGTGGTGTGCGCCATTCAGCGGTGGGCACGTTACTGATAAGCAGAAGAAACCCTTTCTACATCTCTGTACCTATATGACAGTACGTGAGTGAAATGCCACAGATCTTCCTTACCCTCTTAACAGTCGCTACTGGAAAATTACCGATGTTGCCGTCGCCTCCGCGCCTAATTTGAGAAGGGCCTTGTCCCATAGCACGGCAGAGCATCCCTCCTCCAGCTCTACTTATCAGCTTGCATTATTTCAAGTAGTTATAATATTGTAATATAGACCCCTCCAGCCTTACTGCCACGCTCGTAAGCCAAACTCAGCCCTGTGGCGGCAATACTAAAATGGTTCATGCAACGTCGCTACCCCTGTCGGTACCTTCTCGTTAAGCGAGCGAGTATGGCCCGGAAAAGCTCTACAATTGTCCCAAAAAGGCAAGCGAACAGCCTCACAAGCTGCAGCACCAAGAAAGAAGCAGAAACGTAACTTAGTACTGTAGGTGTGCAAAGTGGCGGTGCAGCACATGAGGAGCCCCCAGCTCCTCCACCCAAACACAACACCCGCGGCCGGAAGATCACTCTTCCAGCAAGATATGTATAGCAAACATTTGTCGCATAGGCCTATAGGGTACTCCACCATGATTTCTAGTCGCGACAGCGATTGTGTGTGGCTCTACAGCTTCACTTTTTGGGTGACCTGTATGAGGCTTCTGATGCGCACTACGCGCACGAACATGGTACCCCCGATTGGCCAGCTTGGCGGCAAGGCTATCAGCGTTTCCACCGTACATGACCCCTAGATTTATCTCCGCCCTTTGTCTGAGCCTCCAGTATGTGCATAGCTTCCACCCGCCTAAGTGTTCCTCCCGTGCGTGCGCCCAGATCCAGGAAGGTGCATCGCCCTTCTCCAGCTTCTACCGCCTAAGCGCTTCTACCGTGCGTGCTCCCAAATACTGTCTTCTAATCCCCTCCTAAGCAGGCCTCCCGTGCGTGCGCCCAGATCCTGTCGTCGTCCGACCTCCCGCTTGAGCAAGCCTCCCGTGCGTGATCCCAGTTCCAGGAAATGCATCGCCCTTCTCCTAGCTCCTGCCCGCCTAAGTGTTCCTCCCGTACGTGAACCCAAATCCAGTCTTCTAATCCCCGCCTAAGCAGGCCTCCCGTGCGTGCGCCCAGATCCTGTCGTCGTCCGACCTCCCGCTTGAGCAAGCCTCCCGTGCGTGATCCCAGTTCCAGGAAATGCATCGCCCTCCTCCAGCTCCTGCCCGCCTAAGTGTTCCTCCCGTGCGTGACCCCAAATCCTGTCTTCTAATCCCCGCCTAAGCAGGCATCCCGTGCGTGATCTCAGATCCAAGGAATGCATCGCCCTCCTCCAGCTTCCACCCGCCTAAGCAAGCCTCCCGTGCGTGCTCCCAGATCCAGGAAATGCGTCACCCCGTACATGACCCCAAATCCTGTCCTCCGATCTCCGTTCAAGCAGGCATCCCGTGCGTGCTCCCAGATTTACTCTTAAGAAGTTTTTGGGCCTCAGCACCTCGCTTACTCGACCGTTCCTACGGTACACTCGTGCTTGATCCCCAAATTCACTTCATCATGATCGACAAAAGATTTTCTTTTCGAGGGACCGTCAGAGTCCCTTCCGATTGCCTCTGTACCAAAGGATTGAGCTCTCCTCAGAATGAAGGGCTGAACGAAGATAGTACAACTTGGTCCAAACACGATGTCGCCGCTGAAGATCTCAAACAAAACGGCGATAGAAACATCATCTGTGTCCTTGTATGCGATGAGCAATTGCAGGCGGCGTTGAGCGAAGCGAATCTCAAGCCGGATGCACTCTTGAAACACTCAAGTAACGGACACTTCCTGGAACTTAAATATTTCGAGAAAGAATCCCTGCGCGTTCTGCAGGGTCGGGATTTAGTGCTTGCTGGGCGACATCTACTTCCAGTGGAGAAAAGATGGTGGAACGTTCGGTTGTATGCTGAAGGTATTAAGTCAAGTTTTGGCACATTCCATATCCAAATCATTTCTTACACCAGGGCTGATTTCCACGAAATAGAGCATTATCTGAGCCCCAAAGACATACCTTCCGGCGAAGCTTTTAGAATGCTTCGTATGTGTCAATTACATCGACGACCGGACGAAGAGCAATGGTGGTGGAGAGGTATCAGTAACAGTATAACGAAAGACGTGAAGCAACTACTCAATAAGGAAGTCCTAATGAAGGAGGTAGACCGCTCCTTACTTGTTCCAGGTTTCTGGTTCCCCATCAAGTTGGGCGTTTTCCGGAGACTCAATGGGGTCAAATGCGACGAAGTAAGTCCAGCTCTTCAGCCCGCGAGACATCTGCTAATTCGGGAAGGAACTTGCTCACTACTTCAAACACATAAACGAGACATGGGATCCAGTCCTTCGTTGCCTCGGCAAAGATGTCTGGGTCATAGACGATGCCACCATCGAGTTTCTTGAGCTCAGAGCGCCGAAGGCATCTACTGTGGACCGGAATGAGATAACAGCGGGCATGGAAAGCGGACTGTTATTCCCTTACATTGGACACCAACGGACGAGGTCTCAGCTGTTGACGTGTTTGTTAAGCATACCATCGCTGATACCGACCGTGCAGACATTCTTCAACAACCTCACCTACGTAGAACCTTGTGCAATGGTCTTGAAAGGCATTTTGGATCCACGCCCGAAATGTTCAGTCAAGAACTCCTTTGCTGCCGCTTTCAAATGCCCCCTGGAGCTCTACGTGGAAGAGGCTGATGGAAAGTTCAGCCGGCATAGACCGCTGGAAGCTAGTGAAGCCTTCAACTGCTCCTATCTGCAACTCTGGCTATTCGCAATGAGAAACTTCCCTGAGATGACAAGGATCACTGTAAAGAAGGAAGTTACGGAGCCTCGACGATATGCCAATGAACCGAATGCATGGCTCTGGCACGATTTTGCGGCGCTCGCCGCCAGACTTGGCTTCAGTACTAGTAGAATCAGCGAGATTCTATCAACCAACCCAAGCATGATACATGCAAGGAGAATGCTGCTTGATGCTCGTCCGTCAGATCAATATTGCTTTGATGATGGCGAGTTGGAGCGCTATACAGGTCAAATATCGGAGATGATAAAGTCGGCGAAAAAGTTACCGGTGCCTTCTTCCGAGAGTCAGATTCTCCGATCTCAGTCGTGCACGGAGGCTCGCAACCGGAGATGTGGTCGACCACATGAGTTTTCACACGCTGCAGACAAGGCTCTCTTGTTCCTGCCAACCATGCAGAGCTCTCTGGGAGACATCGGACCTGTGAACTCCTTTTTCGTTAAGAAAGACTTCGTTATATCATTCTTCGGCAGGGATTGGAACAGCACGTGGTGTCCACTTCTTCAGAAAGATGAGGGCGTACCTGCTGTTGACTCGGCGGATGCTTTAGATCCTGAGACAGTGCATAAAGAGAAGGCTGGTCAGAAAATATGTTTGCAATACAAGGTACTGCAACACCTCCACGATCAATCGCAGGCCGCTAATTGTCCCCATATAGTGTCTATATGAAGGCAGAGATCCAAGCAAACTGAGATGGAAATATATTAGGGAGAAGAGATCATTGACAAAATCGCGCAGCTCTTTCATCCGGAAGACGAGAAAGGGTGCGAGGAAGAGAAAGATCCGCTCGACTTAGACATATGCGGAAAACCTGTGCAAACAGCATCAATGATCTGAAAATCCATCACTCTCACCGCCCTAGCTTACATGGTGACAGGTCCAGCCGATCCCCAGGGGTTCATCTCCGCCTTCGGACCATGACGAGGAACAGAAGGCCGCAGAGAAGATACCACAGGACAATCAGCTGCCTCCAATCGAGAAGGATGATGCGTGTTCGTGGCGTCTCGGGTTCATTCGAGACATCGCAGAACATCGAAGCAGTTTTGAGTAACTGGGGTGCCAAGTTGATTCAAGTTGTTTTATCTTATGAAATTGTACAATTGGGTGCCAGAAGTCTGTTAGCGCCATGCGCTCGGGCCACCAACACCACTATTATCGCAAACTTCAAAGCTATGCAACTCTATAGAACCACGTTCAAATATTTAATTGAGGGCAGCAAATTAATCGAATTAATCCTAATATTTTGTTTGATACCCATTTGCTTGTTCAACAGCGCGGAGGCGGTGCGGCATTGACGTGATAAGCTTTTTAATCAGAGTGGTAGGTATAGCCTCCTTCAAACCAGCTTCAAACCTCACCCACTCCTCTGGCGAGTCTCCTATCGTATCAAACTCAGGATGGAGCTCATGGACCTTCCTTTTGAGTGCCCACCATAAGTGTTCAATAGGGTTGAGGTCAGGAGAATAGGGTGGCCAATCAATCGTTGCAACACCATGCTCCTCAAGCCAGCCTCTTGAGAGCGCAGCAGTGTGAATAGGTGCGTTGTCCTGCATAAACCACTCGCCAGGTCTGTACTAATCGGTGAGACCCTCATCGAGGGCTTTAACGTAGCTAGAGGCCGTATATCCGTTGCGCCTTAATAATGTATCGCGGGTCATAATTACTAGAGGGCTACGGCCAACTCTACCTCCTGGTGTCATCCATATTGCGCCCCAGATCATACGCGCAGGCTGCCTAGCAGTAGAGACCTTCTCTACCATCTTGTGTGACCATTTATCCGCTCGTAAACGCCATACCCATTGCGTGTTGTAGCTAGAGCCTCAGGCGAGGCTACACTCGTCACTAAATTTAAGAGTCTCCCTGCGCCAGTTGAAGCTACGCCAATCCTAAGCAAACTTAAGACGTTGTTTGGCAGTAGATCTATTGATTTTTGGTCTGCGCTTCGCTCGAAACTTGCGGTAGCCCTCCTCTTCAAGGGCGCGTTGCACTGTACGCTGTGAAACGTCAGGGTAGGCCTCCTTAAGGAGCTTATAGTACTCTATACCAGGAGCTTTTTTGGCGATTCGAAGCAGCCGACGACGATCTCTACTAGTTAAAATAGGTGGACGGCCTGTACGATCGCGCGTGGTGGTGCTAGAGGTGGCCTCCCATCGAGCTATCGTTTTCTGTACAGCGGGTTTTGTACAGCGGAGCACGTTGGCGATTTCCTTGGTTGCTGTACCAGCCTCTGCCTGTGCTAAGATAAAATCGCGTTGGCATTCTGATAATTCACCACCTAGCATTCGATTGCCTGAAATTTCAGCGCTAAATGACCTCATATTGATGGAGTTGTGTGGTGTTGCAGAAGATACCTATCTTGTGATCTCATGTTGTTGTTGGGCCCGTGCGTTTAGCGCGAACAGACTTATGGCTTAGTACAGTATAAAGAAATAGAAAGCAAATAACCAAACACCTATTCGACGCGCCTTCGTTTGGGTTTGGTGCCTGGGGTCCATTCCATGTCATCTTCATCATCTCCCTCCATGGCAAAATCTTCTTCCTGCAGTCCTCTTGATGCCAACCCGAGCCTGTGTAATGTTATCTTAAACTGCTTGATTTGCCTTTTGTGTTGTTTTTCCTCAAGTTGCGTCGAAGCTACGCTGTAAGTAAGACCCCAAGACTTTTCCAATGTGAGCACATCAGAGGCGCATAACCCGCCTGATGAGAACTTCTTTGCAGCGCTGCAAATTTTCTTGTCAAAGCTGGTCATAAGAGCTCCTGTGTACTTTTTCGTGTCATGATGTAGGGAAATCCATTCAGCTTGCGTTTTTAGCCACAGATTGTCGACAATTTCTAGCCTGCTGTCGACGGGGCCCTTCCACTGAATGAAGCCTGGGCGCGAGGGTGATGATCGCGCGCGTTTTGGCGAGCGTCTCTGGTTACTGTTGAGTGTCGACTGTTCGTGCTTTTCTGTAGGAGCTTGTCCGTCATCCAGATAGGCGAGCTCCATCAGATCTCGATGTTCATCCGGGTCTTGCTGGGCTGTCTCCCCATGGTCGTTGTCTGATGAGTCATCGACTACGATTGCATCATCTTGACTATGGCCATGATCTTTGAGTAAGGACTTGTTCTTCTTTATGCGGCGACCACCTGAAGATCCTGACAAACGGCTGCGTACGTTTCCCGACTCAGACATCACCGCCTTAGATAAGTCAGGATCACTTGCACTTAGCGCGCTGCTGGTGGATGATATGTTCTTTGAGAGCCTTGGAGATATTTCCTGTACAACTGTTGTGTTGTCTACGGATGCTTCGTTAGAAGGCTTAGAGATCTTGGCTGCGGCGGCCATTTGCTTAAGTTCTTCGAAGTCGATAGTCCTTGAGCTTCTACTGACATGAGGCTGCGTAGGTGAAGTCGAGCAGAGAACGTTCGAGTGGTCTTGGACTGTCGGGGGAGCTCGGGCAATCGGTCCCGAGCCAGCCGTATGTTTCGACGTAAAGCTCGTGCTCTTCATGGCTGGCTCGCTATGGATCAGGCTCATAGAGTCGTCAAACTCCACGGGAAGTGGCGTGGGCTTGACGACTACATTATCCGTCGATATGGGTGGCACTGGTGAGGCTCCCACAGGGTCGAGTCCGACGCCCAGCGATGTTATTGACACACTAGGGACAGTGTCTTTACGCTCTGCCAGGGATGTCGTAGAAGTAGAAGGTTTTGGAACTTCCTCATAGCACACTGAGGTGCTTGAAATTGCTAGCAACGGCGCTGGCTTGTACTGAATAGAGTGGATGCTCGACATAGCCAGCGAGGGACATGATTGAGCTCGAGATGGGGGAGACACAATCGTATCCTTCTGGTTTGCTGGCCGAGTACCATCCGCAGAACCCGGGCGTCGAGCCGTCATGTCGAATTCTACTCTGGCCGACATGCCTGTCCTCGACAGTGGCATAAACAGTTCGTGTAACGGGTTTCCGAGAATCCCAGGACCAGTGTTATCTGACGAGAGATCCTCTGCGATTTCATCCAAGGAGTAGTTCGTAGCCTTGTTGGAAATTAGTAGTGATAGGGCAGGTAAGATCATCGGTTCGCGTACATCTGTGTAGACCGAGCCAGGGCTCTCTTCGAATCCCCAAATACCGTCAGTGAAACCACGGAGTTCTTCTGGAGTCAATGTTTGCAGGAAGTCGAGTTCGTCCATGGTGAGCGTATGTTCTTGAGGTGATGATGATTTGCAGGCTGTACGAACAGTCACCTTTTATACCCACGGAGAGTATCTAAAACTAGCATCAGCGGTTATTGCATGAATATTGGAAGCATCGTCAGGATTCGCAGGCCGCAGCAGCGGCAATTTGTGACGACGCTTAATCAGTGAGAGTACTCCAGGCATGAACACCTTACCGCTAGGATGATCACGAGTCGTTGTCCCGGGTCTCGACTCCATGTAGCAACCTTATGCGGGCGAATCTGTTGGCTCTCATAGTTCCAAGCAGAGTTAACACAAGGCGAATATGCTGTGGTGCATGAAGTCTTTGCCGCTCGGCCGCTGATCTGTTGGTAGCATGGCTAAGAATACCATTTTTTCCATGTCACAAGTTTCATGCCGCTGAACCTGTTGGCTCTTATCGATTGATGCAGAGCAGGTACAAGGCAGACATGAAGCGGTGCATGAAATCTCTGCCGCCCTGGGGCCAGGCTGTTACTAGTATGTTTGAAAACCTTGTTCTCCCAAGTCTTGGGCGTCACGATACCAAGACATATTGGCTCTTACGGCACGGAGCATAGTGTTAGCAAGGCAAAGATGGTGCGCCGCATGAAAGTCTTGAGAATCTGGCGCTCGCTTGTAGGTACTGTGTCCCGAAATAAGTGTTTCTCCATCCTCTGAGCTTCATGCCACCTAGATCTATTGGCTCTCGTTGCACTGAGCATGTTGTTGGTAAGGCAGAATTCTCTCATTGCATGAGAATCCTACCGCTTGTCTCGGAACGACAGTGTACGGGCGGTATGTTGGGTAGTGTGACGGCTGGTGTAGGATGAGATGGGGGGCGGTTTTAAGTACCTTGTCCAATGTCTTCGAAGCAAAGTTCATACCGGAGCTCTATATAAAGGGGTGATACTGTCCTTGACAAGTGCAGCAAAGATTAGTCTCCCTCAACATTCATACACTCCCGCGCAAGATGACCTAGAGTAAGTGGTAGTGGCGAGCCGTATGATTGAGAGACTGACATGCAAGCAGCGTCTACTTCGAAGTCGATATGAGTTCCAACAACAAGTCGGCTACCCTCACTCGGATCAGCTACCAAGGACGTCCCACTCAGCACCTCGACAGAGGTCTTCCCAGCCAGCAACATCTCCGTCCGATGTCTCAAAAGGACCTCACGTCGATTCCAGCCGTCGACGAGCTGCTTCAGGGGAAGCCGACCATACCGAATGAGGCAGTGAAGTACGCCCAAGACGGCAGTAGACGATCTGAGCCATTACCCGAAATGACGTCGCAGTCAGTTCCCTGGACGCATAAGTCCGAAGACCTCACGATTCGAAATGCGGTAGCTTCCTGCAAAGGTATCAACAACATCGAATGACGTATAAGTTACGGTCGCCAAATCCTGTCCGCCCGTGAAATATTGGGTTTTGCAAGCCAGTATAAGCGGCCTATGCCAGAGTTCATATCGTCTTTGCAAGTGGTGGGCGAAACTACAAGATCTCGAGAGTCCAAGGATTTTGCGGCCATATTACTTCAAGCGCATCAGCACAAAGAGCGCTTGAAGGTACATTGGGAAGATAGGCTCATGACTTTCGAGGAGGTCATAGCCGAAGGTCAGACCTCTCTCGTATTGGCCTTTTTGTGGCGAAAGAGGCACTTCATTGCACAAGCTCTTTTACGATGGTTGTATAGAGAATTGGTCATGCCTGTGTTTTACAAGCTTCTAATGGGTTGCTATCTGGCTGTTGTTTGGGGCACATGTTTTCTGATTTTTTTGGGCACATGTATTAATATCTTAGCCTACTTAGGTAACATTTGATCAGCCTCGAGTCTCTTGACGGCATCTTGACGAATTTTATTTGATGCCTTCACATGACGACGGCTCTTCCACAGAAACCAGATGATCAGTGCTACAAATACCACAAAGATAGTCGCAACAACTCCAATGACTAGAGGCGAATTGAATCTGAACTTTTTACCGCTAGTAGGCGCTGCGGTTGTCTTGAGCGACGCCGAGGGAGCCATCTTGTTTCTGAATCTTGACTTCTGAGGTCACTTTAGTTGTATGCCATAGTCTGATCGTGGTTCAACTTTCCATATACTACCACACGTTGGAAAACCTCTTGCAGCCTTCTCAGCCACGAATCTTGTAGTTCGGGTCGCTCTAATGTGTGTGGGTCCAATACACTTCAAGAAATTAGATAGCTAACGAAAATACAGGGGAAGGTACCCACGAGTAAGAGGGCAGATCACTTTGCTGCCTTTTCGCAGTGCTTTTAGGTGAATATCAGATAAAGACGATGCAGCACATATTCATTACAATGCTAATTCGTGCAGCTAGAACATTTGCTTTATAGTTCTCCCTTCTCTCCCACGACACCTCCCCAGAATCTCGGATCCCGTGGTAGTGTCCAAAGCAGGAGTATGCAACCTGTTTCCGCGTCGCGCGACAGTAACTGAATCACGTATATGGTAAACAGTCCTATGATTGCACGGTCGGACCTGATGATACAACATTAAGTGTGAGCTTTAGTGATTGGGTGTAGTATTATGTAAGAGGCTGAAGCCTTGGTTAGTAGTACTTGGCCTGTGGCCTTCGTTATAGCTGGTTGGGATAGGCTGCAACCCTCGGAGCGTTGTCGGGGTTTCCCATCGGCGCTCCACGGACCCTTAAGTTTCTCGAACCTAGCACTACGTGATACATAGACTCAGCCAAGCGTAGTGTAGTTTCTCTATCAAAATTCATTCTGTTATACCTTGCACTTATGTCACCCATCGCACCCTTACAATTAGTAATTGTTAAACGCAGAGCAAACATACACTATAAATGTCTTACGACCACGAAATACCGCAAAGTGGGGAGACATACGGTTACATATTTGATACGATTTGCTAGAGTTTAAACACGACCCACCCAAAGCCATACACAGTCTAAGAGCCTAAACAACCAGTGCACTCTTCGTGATTGTCATGAGCTCGCGCCCACACCTGCCCAGAGAGTGAGTTGAGCTCCAAGAAGGCCGATAAAAGCTTACCTCTTCGTCTCGATAGCAATTATATACAAGTATCGCTCCTTCTCGTTCGACCGTAATGTAGACTCGAGTTTCGGAAGGTAGTATATGACACTCAAAGGCTTGGACGCCTCCTTCGTAGCAAGGCATGGATTGATAGGGTTTGTTCTGGATATGAAAGCCTATGTGGTAGCACTGTGGCTTGTTAAAACTAGCCTTATCGTTTGCGTGCCAAAGACCTACATGGGGAGGAACACTATGCATATGCTGAATAACTTCTGGAAATCCAAATGGTAGCTCGAAAGTCTCTTGCTCACCACCACGCTCCACGCCTCGGTGATGACATCTATGCACACGGAACGCCGGCGGTTGTAGCTTGGCAGGCAAAAAGCCCCGATTATTGACGGGAACGACTTGGTCACTCCCCGTTCGGGTGTCTCTGTATGTGGGAGGGCAATCCGTATTGGCAGTGGATGCTGAGGTCGCAGCAGGTGCTACTATAAGCATTTCTGGAAAGTTTATGGTCACAGAACAACCGAACTCCGCAGCGGATGGCGTTTGTGGGACCGGGATGTATGGAATCTCTGTCAGATTACTCTTAAAGGATGGCTCGTGGAACTCGGCGGTGATTATGCCAGGTGCGCACACCATGTGCTCCTGGATAGACGACATGTGCTGTATATACTTAGCGTACATATATGATATACCATGGAGCTACTTACTGATGGCTCGACTATAGCTGAATCAAAGATTTGGACTTCACCTGGTCTTTTGATTTCTACATACACGCAAGCCCCAGACGAGCGCGAGTATCGGCTCAGAAGAAGAAAGAGAACGTCCTCTTCGTTCAGTAGTTTAATAGTATGTAAAACATTCTAGTATTCGCATATAAGCTGTTTAATGTTTAGAAAAGCTTAACTCGATTGGACTTCAACAAAACGGTTAACACCAGAAGCAGGAGAGCCGGCTCTCTAGTTGTGGTCAGTGTAATTCCTCGAGCTATAGTATTACAATGCCCTACAACGCCACACTCTAAGAAAGAGTCTTTAATGTGCTTTGCGTAAGTCCGATAATCTTCTACGCTTGGCGGACCGTTTGTTGCAAACACAGAGCTGTACTTCGTGTTCCCAATCTTCCAATAGGGATCGGATGCGCTCTCCGTATACGCGGGAGGTGCAGCTTGAGGGGATGATGCAGGTCGGTCCATTATTGACGCTGGAGGTGTACGACTAGTATGAGAAAGACTCACAACAGGTGCGGGGCAATGATCCCTTTGACTTCTCGAGCAAATACTGCGCCGCTTAAATCCGCTGGTGAGTCGAAAATGACCATTGCATGCTCGCCGCATTTGTAAAATTAGCCTAGGCGCCTCGTACAGACGACTGCTATCGTGCGATGGGCATGTATCCGGTTTACAGTATACAGAAGTCTGTTTATTGCTTGTTGAGCTGTGCACCGCCTACCCAAGTGAACAGGTTCCAGGATCAGGATTCGGGTATCTGCATCTGACCTATATACGCTTACACATCGTGGCTGTGCTAGCGCGCTTATAAGTATAACGCTTGTGATAACTAGATTGCCAATTCTACGCGCTTTCAAGGATAGACCATGTTGAGCCTCGCTCTCCCTCTCAGCCTCGTTGGCGCCGCAGCCTGTCTGCCGCAATCCACCGTCCCACCTGCAGCCGCTGCTTGCTATACTTTACCTATCGACTTTGCGGTAAACCTCCAGTTCTCGATCTATCGTCCGTGCTTCTGCATTCGAGATCACAATGCGCTTGTTACTTCCTTAGGCAAAGATGAGCCATGTCTAGTAAGCTTTAAAGACCGTGCCCAAGGGGGTACCTTAGTCTTTCTCTAGGTAGCTAACCTTTTGCAGCTGGTACGTTCGGCGGAGGCGGAAGCCGCAAATCTAGATCCAAATCAGTACAGTCAATGGTTCTGGGAGACAACTGAAGGATACCGTTACTCGTATGCTGAATGCTGGAGGGATGATATCCCTGTGTGTCAGATGGTTCTTGGTAGTCAGTAAGGAAACATGTAGCTAGGCTACAAAGCAATCTTACTAGAACCGCGACATCAGCGGGTTCTGGTCGCTCAGCTTCCTGTTAACTGCATAGCAGTATACGGCAAGCCTATAAGTATGTTCCTCAGTCTGTATGATACCCATCTAATCCCATCTACACCTATCAACATGACCATCCTTGTTGCCTGTCGTCGAGTTTTCGAAAGGGCCGCGTTAGCCCCCGAAAAGCTTCGTAGGAAACTCTTTTCGCGTAGTGTGAAGCAGGAATGCGACGGCCTATCGAGCGTTGGGTCATGGGATTATCATGGTAGATCGCCCAGCTTGATAATAGACTTCAAGACTAATAATCGGATAGATATAGGTATTTAGGTATATTTGCAACCTCCAGTACGTGGCAACATTATGTGTTCATTCGCTCTCGCCTGTGACCCTGACAATTCCTCAATCCTGATATGCCACAACGCCACTCGTGACTGCGACGTTGATCACTCTCTCGCGAGCCTGCAGAAGATTAGCAGTTGTGCATTAGTAGACGAAGAGCGGCAGACCTTGGGTTCTAGCGCTAACTGGGAAGTCGGGTCGACTGAATTGTACATAAAAACCGCCCGTCGATACGAATCAACATATAAATCTCGGCTTCTGCTGCTTGACAGAGTCGACTCGCCTTGCAGAGTAGTGTATTGAAACGGCCTTAATGGTTCGCGGCGGGCAAGTATGCGTGTGAAATGCTTGTGGAGTTCTGCAGAGACAGTTAGCTCAATCAAGCTGTGTAACTTGATCATACCACTGCAAGCATGACCCTGTTGTCGTTCGTCCCGATCCTGCCATCATTCGTCCAGATCCTGCTGTTGTTCGTCCCGATCCTGCTGTCATCCATCACGCCCCTGTTGTCGTCGACCGTGGCTCCAACCGGCACGTCCCGGTGGTGAGGACATGGGCATGGTCTAGGCGGAAGTTCGTCTAGCAACTGGAGGACGTTGCGCGCTTGCGATTCGAGTCGCTTTCGGGAGGATGCGGTACGAGGCAAAGCACCAAGTTGCTTGAGAGTGCTGTGCAATCGTGTTTCAAGTAGTTGACGCTGGGCGTCCCCGACAGGAAGTTGTCTGGGTGACTGGGATGGATGTGAGGGCTGTAGCCAAGTGGACGTTGCGGACCCGATCGTTTAAAGTCAAGGTTGAGCTGCGCTTGTTGCTCAAGTTCCAGTTGTAGCGGGCTGGAAGGACTAACAGCGATGGCGAGCGCGACGGCACAAAAAGGTGATGGAGAGGGTTGTGGGACGGGCGATGGGCTCTGGTTGTGTGGCCGAGTGGCTGAGTGGCCGTGCGACACTTTTGCCAAGCGCTTCAGGACACCCGAAATCCAGCTCGGATTGGAGGCGGGGCAAGGTTTGAAGTCCCCAGCGTTTGGTTCGCGTCAACGAACACCCAGCATCAAAACCGCAACGAGCTTCCGATGCAGCTATTATGCAACTTCGAGACACAGTGCAATAGATGACTATAACTAACGGGAAAGTTTCCACGCTATAGGGATAAACCATCGCGCGGCCCTCTAGCTCCGCAGATCCGCCGTCGATCCCTCGTCCGACCCGCCACGCCCTCGTACCTGGCCTGCGCCCCGTGCAGCTAGCAGCTTATCAGCCATATCACGTACAGCTGCGTACGTAGGGTCTAAGTTCAAGACGTGATGACAGTTCGTTTAACCGGGCGTGGGGTCCATGGTTATGACAAATGGCTCGCGGCAACTGCGGCCGGATTGCAGAATTTAGGCTCTATGTACCTTTTCGGCTTAGACGGTGACAGACGTCACGTGCGATATCAGCCGTATACCTAAACAGGGAAGACGTCCGCTGCTGTATATAGTGCTAGCCTTACATGTGCTTTTTGCGTGATTTGCACCAGCAAAGCTGAACAACGTTCTTCGTCAAACCCTAGCTAATACGTCAGTAAGCCAAAGCTGGTCGTACTATCGATCTAGCAGGTAGAACACATTAGGTATGCATACGGTTCCATCATCCTATCCCATGACGCATTGAGACTAGAATAACACTGGGATAGGATCATCAATTTTTCCGCTGTCTTTCTCGAGTCCCCCATTATGGCGGAATGGCGTATTAGCGACGAGTGTCCATTGAGGGAATTTGAAGGCCTGGATCACGAGCGTTGCGCAGCACTTCATAATTATATTGTTGAACTAGGCTGGGTTCAGCGAGGCCTCGCATTGGACACCCTCGACAAACGGACATGGTGGGAATGCTATGGCGGTGATGCAGTTCTTGCGAGTGTTTCCGATCGTCTCGATGCCACTGTTGTCTCTTTCCTAAAGGCAGTTTGGCATGGATTTGCAATGGAACCGGTTGCCAAGCCTCACTGCTTCCATCGGTATCTGGCCTGTTTGTGCCCTCCCGAAAGACTTTGGGAGAATATAAACTATGCCGAAGACGAAGACGATTCGAACAAGCGGCGCTTTGTCACTCTCTATTGGGCGGCCGGGTCTCTGAGCGCCACTCATCTACTTGGGCTGGTTTTAGATCAAGACGAGTGTACAGCCATGCAGCACACGACTATTCATGACACTGACATCACCATGAATGGTCGGCAGTTGTGGCTCCCTCTTGAGATGATTCTTGATGGCTTTGTCGACATGATAGACCAAGGTAAAGTCCTGGCCGTCAACGATGGTTACAATGGGGAACAAGAGCGCATAGAACCGTGGATCATGCCTTCATACACTGAACGAGACCTCCAGGACACCCTCCAGGCTTTCGAGCAGCTGGTAGACGCTATCCACGCCAGAATGCCATCTCAGCCGCAGAATACTAGACAAGGTCTGCTCGACCTTGTGACTGGTGGTAATGCAGAGAGCCTACCCTCGAACAGCTTCGCTCATCGGTTTCTCACCCAGTGCTCAAAGCCTGCCTTTACTTATATCGCACCAGGGTTGAGCATGGCTCAATACCAACCTTTTGCCCCAACTTCAGGGCAAGTGGAAGCTGACAAGCTCTACCCACTTCTCCTCTTCTCAAGTAAAGATCCTGCCTACCAAGAGACCCGTCGCACGCCATGGGGTGAGGATATGCGCATCTCGCCGTTTGCTCCTGAGTTCGATCACGTCTCATCCTATCCAGCCGGTCTCTATCTCACAGAAACCAATCCATATAGCATACATCCGTTCGAGGACGGTAGCAAACTTATCCTTCCATTCACACTTGGCTCAAACACATTCGCTCGAACAAGCGACGGAGCACTGATTGGCGAACACGTGCGAAGGGCGGGAGATGATGGTGCGATTGATATAGAACCGAAGAGCACGGAGCTCTATCAGCTAGGATTTAATCACTATATTTCATCGCACGACGTACAACTAAGGTATGTACTAGAGAAATGGATTGAGATGGTCGAAGAGGGGAAATGGCAGGTTGACCAGGATGGTGTTGTGGGAGGTATAGAGAAGTGGCGCGAGGCGGACACAGAGGCAAATTGGTCGGACTATCAACTGCTGATGAGTTGGTGAGGTGCTTCATGTATTGTCCGTGTTTCAACCCCTACACACTTCTGTATTGGAACCGATGCGCTTAGCACAGTCGCTTCATTCTTGTTCGGGGGCGGAATACCGAATGAGCCCACGGATGGTCCAGCAGTTGTGAAACATGATGCTCTGGTGATCGCTGGTCAGAATGAGACATGGTTCCAACGTTTATTTCATGGAAACCGACCGGATACCATGATAGAAGTGACATATTGTGGTGCAGCGATGCCCCGCTTTCAGCCGCACCGTCCTTGGTGTGTCCCTTCAGTCTTGGCTAACGTGTCCGTCGGGTCAACGACCGCGGAACACGAAAACACCAGACAAGCCACTTTGCCCGACACGTCGTACCTCATGCGAAGCGAAAGTCCAAACGAGCATCCTTCCCATTGCGCCAACAAATCCTACTAGGGTATCACAAAAACTCAACCATACATCCCTTCCGAACGCCTCTATCCTGTGGTTCCTGTCTATGACCTTGCCCGATCCCAAGGCCCAAAATTCAAACACCCATATACAGCGCACTACATCCCGATCGACCTCAAAGTGTGTAGCATCTACTTCAGCCCGCGTACCAATTCAACCCTTGTACTTTCTCAACACATCCTCACTAACCCTCTTGACGCTCCTGGCCGACAAATTCCTCTCGCCGCGTTGTTTACCTTTGATGCTCGCTTCGTTGATGAGTCTGTTCGTTCCGTTAGCGTTTTGGTCCTTCTTTTCCACCCTTCTCTATCGTGATCATCATTGTCCGCGGAGATACACCACTATCCTTCGTGCGCTGTCTTCATCTCCCGCTCTTCTCTTGATTGCATGGCATCTTGTGGTGTCGAGCGCGTCATATCGCTTCGCTTCGTGAAACGTCTAATGGAGTACGTACTCTTGCATGAACAACGCGTAATTGAGGTATATCTATGCTCCTCGTCAGTCTTCAGTCTCTAGTTGGCGCACCCCTCCTCTCCCTGCTTATGCGATGCCGACGTACGAGGATATCTACGTTCTTGCTCATCTGCCAGTTCGAATGCGCTTTGACAATCTTCTTGACGGTGCCGCGGGGGTACAGGGTGGGCGCCATGATTTACTTGGGTTGTTCGTTTGACTTCGCAGGCGGGGGGTACGTGGTAATGGGTGGGTGTGAGGCTTTTGTTCGTAGTGGCTGCGGGGACGCTTGGTGGGTGAAGTGCAGTGAGACGTGTTTGGGCTGACGTCGATGTCGTGAGCGTTGGTCTGTGCGTTGACGCGCTGGCACGTGGGAGGCTTGGTCCGACTTCCACCCATCCATCCGAGACGTAGGCCATGTTCAGCTTTCTAAATCGGTGGAAGTGAATGATTACGCATCTCAAGAACGAATCCGAACCATCACACTGCACAGAACAATCCGCGAAGCACAAGCAAGTAGCAAAAGTCAAGTCTAGTGAAGAAAAGAACTCTCATACGAGATGCATCTATCAGGGACTATCACAAGATAATGTTACACAAACGAGATTCTCCATCTAACTGCGCTACATAATCACTGTATTTACACCTTGAGGCCGAGATCCGCAGCGTATGGTAGTACGAAGAGATCACCGACGGATGATACTGAGGCGGTGTTCTCGAGCAGTTCCTTGGCAGCCTGGACGTGTTGGTTAGCATAGAGCACCTGATTGACCAAGTTGCAACGACTTACCTTCTTGACAGCCTCTTCTGTTACGCCATCAATCTTCTTGGCAACCTCGTCGATCTGGTATGGTTGCGTGTTGTGGATGAGACCGTTGCCAGTGAGCTCCAGACCAGCACGGATGTCCTGGCCGTGCTCGAGCTCCTTGAACTTGGCGGCGGCCTTTGCCTTGGAGACCTCTTCGCTTGAGATCTTGCCAGCAGCAATCTTCTTGATAGCATCAACAGAGGCCTGGGCGGTTTGGGCAACAGCCTTGGCGGATCCGGTGATGGTGGTGTAGAGGAGACCGGCGTCGGAGTAGATGGCGCTGGTGGTCTTGACCTTGGCGCCCTGAGCAGCAGCCTGGCCGAGCTTGGTGAAACCTTGCGACCACTTGACGGCGGACTCTCCACCGAGGAGCGAGCTGAGGACAGCGATCTCGGGCTTGTAGAACTTGCCAGTGAAGGAGCTGGAGCCGGGGAAGGCAATGACCATGGCGTTGCCGCCGTCGTGCGCGATGCGCTCCTCACCACCAAAGTACTTGGACTGGTCTGCACCCATGTTGGACTCCTGGAGAGCGGCGCTGGGGACGTTCTCGAAGAACTCGCCAACCCACTTGGAGAACTCGCCATGGTCGGCACCGTTGGCTACAACGCCGTACACACTCAAATGCAGAGGAAGCGCACCGGCGACAGTTACTCAACCCACAACAGGAGTATGAGCTTGTACTATACATAGAAAGATGCACAAGGCGAGGCTTGCCACCGACACGAGAGATGATACAAAATTTCGCTGCGACGATAGCGAAGTGGGAGGTTTCCGAAAGCTGGGTTACCCGGTTTCTGCATCGCCATGCTGACAAGCTTACCATCAAATGGAGCGCTGGAATCGATCGTAATAGACACCAAGCTGATTCTGAAGAAAGATACAAGCTCTACTTCGACTTGTTACACTCGAAGATGCGAGAGTACAACGTTGACGCGCGCAATACGTACAATATGGATGAGAAGGGCTTCTTCGTCGGCATCACAGAACGCTCGAAACGCGTCTTTACAAAGGCAATATGGGTGTCAAAAGAGCGTACAGCAGCGGTCCAAGATGGTAACAGGGAATGGATAACGCTGCTAGCTTGCGTAAGCGCTTCTGGTGAGGCACTGCCGCCCGCTCTCATCTACCAGGGCACATCTGGGCTTCAATCGGGCTGGGTCGACGCCGTGGAGGTCGGAAAACACGAGGTTTTCGTCACAAATTCAGCCTCGGGATGGACGAATAATGACATAGGATTAGCATGGCTTGAACAGGTATTTGAGCGCTTCACGAAGCAGAAAGCGAGACGAGATTACCGTCTCCTCCATCGTCGACGGCCACGGCAGCCATGTAACCTCTGATTTTATAGATTTTTGCGACGGCAATCGCATCCTCTTAGCTATCTTTCCCCCTCACGCTACTCACAGCTTACAGCCGCTCGATGTCGTCCTTTTCGCGCCTCTCTCGAAGTACTACTCACAAGAACTCGATCGCCACCTCCACCGATCGCAAGGCCTCACGAGAGTCACGAAACGCGACTTCTTTTCTATATTTTGGCCCGCCTGGGGCTCTACAATGAGGCCAGATCTTATCTTGAAGAGTTTTCAAGCTACAGGCGTGTGGCCGATGGATGCGGACGCTGTACTGCGACGCTTCAACAACAGCACTTCGGAGCAAGATGAGGCTTCGAAACTTGGGCAACACGGCGATGGCGATAGCTGGACGCAGCTGCGAAAACTTTTTGACGCTGCGGTGCCTGACAAGTCAAAAGTTGAAGCCAAGCAGCTCAAGCGTTCATTCTACTCTCTACAGGTACAAAACGAGCTCGTACACCACGAAAACGACGGCCTTACGCTCGCGCTCGAAGCCAAAAAGAAGCACAAGAAGAAGAGCAACACTATGGACCTTCAACAGCGCAAAGGATATCGTAGCGTCAAGGTTTTCTGGTCTCCAAGGAAGCTGCGCGAGGGGCGGGCTCGCGACGCCGTGAAACAGGACGAAGCCAAGCAGCTACAACTCCAGAAAAGTCACGATAGAGACCTGAAAGCGGCGGCAACCTTGTACAAAAAGAAACAACAAGAAGCTGCAAAGGTGGCTCGACAAAAGGCCAAAGAGGAGCGCGATCGCGAGCGCAAAGAGCGGGCTGAGGAACTAGCTGCCAGCCGGGCGCTCAAAAAGCAACAACGCGACGCTGCAACCGCACAAAAATCTCACGATACACTTAATAAGTCTAAGCGAAAAGTCTCACACAGTGCTGCAAAAAATCCGACAAAGCGTCGTCGTGTTTTGGGTGCAGCAAGTCGTGTTGACGCTGGTCCTCCGGCTGCGTCTCCCCCACCCAAAACCAGCGCGCGCGGCCGCCAAATCAAGACACCAGCGAAATTCAAATAGTACAAAAGATGCGCAAGGCTCTATATAGTAATACACTAGAAAATCTCGCGATAATCGCTTTGTGGGTGGCTCTACAGCCTCATCTTTCTAATCGCCCAATATTGGTGAGGTGGCTCATCGGCTGAACTGGCTCATCGGGTGCACGGGCACTGTAATCTGACGCCAAGATCTCCCTCGCAACCACAATGTTGGCTCCCTGGGACGTTGAACAGAGACTGTTGAGGTGCAGAGGATTTGGTGCACTAACTACTACTGCTGGTTTAATCGCACTCTGATCTGGTTTCACGATGTGAACATGTGAGGGTTTGACGCGCGATGTCACGATTGGGAGCTTCACACACGTACTGCAGAGAATGCCGAATACACAAGTTCCTAGAATGGCTCCCACGCGGACGCAGCCTGAAGTCTTCGGGACTATCAGAGACCCCAATATAGTACAAAGCCTGCGGGCAATGAACCCGCGCACTCTTAACGCACATGTCGAGCGCGCCATAGCGCTAAGCGGAAACGAAAAGATAGTCCGCAACAAGGTAATGTCAATCCAAGCGTGCCGGGACGCACGGTGTAACGGGACACTTTTTCCTTCGGGCGCTCGGAATATTCCCACAACGCTTGTAAATTGATAGGTCTAGCGTGCATCTAAAGTGCAGCTCTTATTCTTCCAGCAGATTAGCCTCCGACGCCAAAATGCGCGTCGTTAGTCACGCTGTTGCCCGTTCTGTTAATGCTGTTGACTGACTCTCCTCGAACACCCCCTGTTCATTCGCGACAGTACATGTCTGCAAAGGGCTTAGTAGGCTAGAAAGGAAGCCAAAATAGCAAAGATTTAGAATGCAGATTTAAAAGGTCGATTTAAAATAGAGCATGCGCATCCCGGTAGTTTCTCCGTGCGGGCAGCAAGATCGTCGAAACGCGTTCAACCGCCCGTGCGCGGCTAGCAGCTCTTAGCCTGCGGCAGCTTGCAGTAGCGTGCTGAGATATCTGCGCGCACCTCACTGTGGCCCTAAGCTACGCTCGTTGCCTTAGACAGCTCTTATTCCCGGATAGCGGGCTGCAGAATCCAACTTAACGATCTACAGATAACAGGCATATAATGATGTTGTCTCACTATAAATTCAGTCACACTACGCTCGCCAGTTGCTTAGCATGTTTAGTGAAGACTGTGTATCAGGGTGTTGCTTGCCAAGAACCCGTTCACGTAGCTGAAAGCATCTTTCCATCAGCGCAAGAGCCTCCTCGTGACGAGCTTGTAACTGCAGCGTGAACGCGAGATTGTGCATACTGGTCAGCGTGCTAGGATGCTCGTCGGTAAGCACTCTCTTCGTCGTCTGCATCACTTGCACCTGCAGCTCTTCGGCCTCTTTCCATCGCCCTTGGTTACTGTACGTCAACGCCAGGTTGTGCATGCTGGTCAGCGTGTGAGGATGCTCATCGGTAAGCACTCTCTTCATCGTCTGCATCACTTGCACCTGCAGCTCTTCGGCCTCTTTCCATCGCCCTTGGTTACTGTACGTCAACGCCAGGTTGTGCATGCTGGTCAGCGTGTGAGGATGCTCATCGGTAAGCACTCTCTTCATCGTCTGCATCACTTGCACCTGTAGCTCTTCGGCCTCCTTCCATCGCCCTTGATTCCTGTACGTCGACGCCAGGTTGTTCATGCTGGTCAGCGTGTGAGGATGCTCACCGGTAAGCACTCTCTTCATCGTCTGCATCACTTGCACCTGTAGCTCTTCGGCCTCCTTCCATCGCCCTTGGTTCCAGTACGTTAACGCCAGGTTGTTCATGCTGCTCAGCGTGCTAGGATGTTCGTCGGTAAGCACTCTCTTGCTCGTCTGCATCACTTGCACCTCCAGCTCTTCGGCCTCCTTCCATCGCCCTTGCTTCATGTACGTCGACGCCAGGTTGTTCATGCTGCTCAGCGTGCTAGGATGCTCGTCGGTAAGCACTCTCTTCGTCGTCTGCATCACTTGCACCTGTAGCTCTTCGGCCTCCTTCCATCGCCCTTGGTTCCTGTACGTTAACGCCAGGTTGTTCATGCTGCTCAGCGTGCTAGGATGCTCGTCAGTAAGCACTCCCTTCCTCGTCTGCATCACTTGCACCAGCAGCTCTTCAGCCTCTTCATACCGCCCGTCACGAAACAGAGTCGCGGCACATTTTGATGCAAGCCGTAATCTTTCTTCATCGTTATCATCTGGTGGACTATGCGACAGAGCATACTGGGCATGTGGAAGCAGTCGTCTCAACTTGCTTCTGTTACTATGATCGTCGTCTGGGAACACTTGGAGTAGCCGTGTGATGGTGCGTTGAGTCCACTGTATAAGCCGTCCCTGCACTTGCAGCCGCTTGCGAAGAGCTTGATGGACTAGTCCATGAACATCGAACGCAGACTCAGCAGGTCGCCTGGCGACGAGCGCATATTTGTCAAGCATCCTAATCGCATCTTCTCTTGCTTGCATCGAGGCTGTCTCGAGAAGATCGAGTGAGATGTCCTTTCGGTCTACGCATGCAGCAAAAAACAGGCAGTCTGCGGCAAACACATTGTCACGACTGATCTCGTCTATGGAGAGAAGCAGTGCAGCAGCGACAGGGTCTTTCACGCCAGAATCTTGTAGTCTACCCCCGGACGAGTCACTGCTGTGCTCGATAGCTAGTTCTTTATGATCGTCTAGTCGTGATCGGCACTCTTGCACCGTCATGCCGCTAGCCTTCATACAGGCCGCTGCTTGTATGACTGCTAGAGGCAGATACGATAGCTCTCTCAGCAAGTGCTCGGCTTCCTTCTGCTCAGTATTCGCGAGTGGTCTCTCCAAGCGGACTTGCAGCATTCTGAGCGCCGCGTCTAGTGTCAGCTCTTGCAGCGCTATGACGCTCTGTAAAACAAGCGCCTGAGCTATGTCGATATTGGTTGTTGTGAAGATGGCAGAACATAGCTTAGACTGCGGCAGACAGTCGGCTAAGTCTGCGGCTTCTGTCGTGGACGAGCCACCAGATCGCAGAGTAGTGTGCTCGGTGTTGTCGAAGATCAGCAAGCATTGTCGTGCACTAAACTCTACTACACATCGTTTTATAAGCTGCTTCATGTCGGCCTGATCGTCGTCCCAGCCCGGAACACTAAGCTTCTGCGCAATACTTGCATACGACTG